CACTTACTACAAGGATGCTTTGGAAAGCCAAAAGGAAGCCTCACCACCTAACTTCAGCAGCTGAGGAGGCCCTTCCATTCCCTCCCCACAGCATGGAATAAAGTAAACACCCCCAGTTTCTGTACCTGATGAGGAAGGGATGCTTCGTAGCAATATAGGACGCTGGTGTCAAAGAGCATCAGCTTATGAGTAACCAGAGCTACAATGCAGTTTCGGACCCGTGAGATCACCTCCCGGTCAGACATGGAAACAGGCTGAGGAAGAACAAAGGAAAAGAGATTAATACATAGGGAAATAATGCAAGCCTACTGTAAAAAAAGCTTTGCCATGAACCTAATACCAAATCTGGAAAGCCCTCAGGTTGTTCACATGCCTCTGACTATGTTAGACTAAGAAAACATCACTGGTAGGAGAAGGCTGATCTTCCCTGAACCCTCACCTCCAAGTTGGCGACGAAGCCCCCAGTCTCTTCATCTCTCTGCTCTGAAGTTGGGTAGATCCAGATGTAACCATTGTTGCCGAGGATCACAGATGCACCACAGGGCAGGTCATGGAAGTGAGTCTTCTGGCGTTTCACAAGAGATGGTGAGACCTGAATGAGCACACCCTGGGAAAGCTGAAGAGGAGACCACGAGACTCAGCATGAGAGACATGAGCCACCACAGATCACATCAAGTCACCGATACACACTCTGTTCCCAGTCTAGGAACCAGTCAATTTTAACACCTTTTCCTGTGAAACAGTGAATATAAAACCTGCCTGCCTCTGGGAGTGCTGCGAGGATTAGCTAGTGCCTGTGCAGTCCTTTGAAGATGAAGAATACTCTAAGTGCTTGGCACAAATGTTAATATCTTGATCGTAACTACACATCAACCATCCCTGCAGAAAAATGAGGACAGGCCCAATTAAGCAGAACACTTTCCCTCTTAATCCAATCACTGTCCTTCGCCCTTTGTGCAATAAGAACACTTCCCTTTCATCTTCTAAGTGCTAATACCCTTGGTCTGGTAATCCCAAACTGCAGCCTGCACTCCAGTGGCCCCTTGGCTTATTTCAATGCACAAAACCAGAGATAAATGCCAACTGCATGAAGCCCAAAATAGAGCTCTGGAGAAAAAGAAAGAAGTCACAGGTGCAATGGCCTGCAGAAGAGCAGTGATGAAGTTTGAGTCAGAAGATTTCTCCCCAGGGTTTAATTCCCAAGTGGCTAGTGGGGGTTTGCAGGCTGTAAGTGTGGTCCGAGAGAACAACAGCTCAAAGGGCACCTCAAGGGCACGTCCTCTACTTTGGGTAAACTCCAATCCGTGTAACCACATAGGAACTAATATTCTTCCTTAACCTGCAGGAATGGGTTATAACAACATCTGCTCTACTCCAGAGCCGCTTTCTTCAAAGTCCCTCCAAAAGGATGTCACATGGAGCAGAATTAGGCCAAGATCAAGTGTTTTTGAACAACTTACCTTCCCGTATTTCAGACTCCGGGTGTGCAGCGACAATGCCCCATCAGTAAATATAGACTGCACCTCTGCCTGTCAGTGCCACTTAAGGAAACAAGGTCTCTACTGCTGCCCGGTGCCAACAGCCACTGACTGCCTGCAGCAGAGAGCTCTCACTACCAGCCAGGCTGTTTTCCCTGCACCCTTGGTTCTTCTGAGTGCAAACAGTGGAAGGATACACTGATGAGGTCCCCTTCCTGCAGACAGTCCCTCATTGCAAGCTCATCTTCTATTGATCTCCTCCTCTGAAATCACAGAATCATAGAATCAACCAGGTTGGTAAAGACCTGTATGATCATTGAGCCCAACCATCAACCCAGGCCTGTCAAGCCCACCACTAAACCATGTCACTAAGGACAAACTGATCTCCCCTCATGATCTCCAGTCCCAGCCACCCCCTATAGTGGCCCACACTATACAGCTGCTGCTCATACCCCTCATGGCCACCCCACCTCTCCCCTCATGATTTCCTAGCAGAATGCAAGACAAGTTACATGTAGTTCAGAAAGAGAAAACATCAGTTAAAGACACTGCAGGGGGACCATTGGGTGCTAAGCAAAACACAGTGTGGTTGCCAAAGGAAAGCCAGACTAGCACATTTAAGTGTTTATGTCCAAATAACACCATGAGTTAAAGATACCGGAGCACTGCAGACCCACTCCCCAGACCCAACACTGCCCTTGGGTACTGTGCGAAAGGCACCACAGCTTCCAAGCAAGCAGAGGACAACAGGGCTCCGGCACTGCTGGCCTACACTCACCAGTTCCCCACCAGGTAAGTTGATAGATGACAGCAGCAGGACTGAATCTAGCCTGGAATACGTCTCCACTTTCCATCGCTTCTGCTGAACCTGGAGAAGGAAGGATCATCTGCTGACACGCACGTAGAGCTGAGCAGCTCTTCAGCAGAGCGGGATGTCCTGCGGCCAGCCCAGGCTGCAGGGGTTGAGGCTGCCTCCAGCCGCCTCGCCTGCTTTAAACCCCATCCCAGCGCTTCCGCACAACGTGCTTCCAGCAGTGTCACAAGCGCTGCGGGTCACACCACGGCACAGACACGTAGCGGGACACCCTCCTCCTCCGCGGCACATCCCTGGGCTTTACCTCCGTAATCCTCCCGACCACGACATCGCCGACCTCACCGTTGTACCTGGGAGCGGGGACAGGGAGAGCAGCCCGTCACACACCTCATCGTGCCCGGCGCCAGGCCCGGCCGGGAGCCAGCCCTCACCCCGCACAGCACGCACCCTCCCCGCGCTCACCGGGTGTTCAGCGCTCGGACACAGATCAGCTTGTTCACCCTCTCCACCACGCCGGCCACCGAGGCGATGAGCTTGTCATCCTCCACATAGGTGCCGTGGCCCCTGTGGAGACAAGCGGCTGCCTGAGGACAGCCCGAGGACAGGCAACCCTCGCCCCCTCCTCTTCGCCATCGCCTCACCTCATGTAGCCCGTATCCGTGGTGATCGTGTCCCCCGGAGCCACCAAGTGCTTCTCGGGGCCCTGAGGCGCCGTCACCACCGCCGGCTTGCGGGGCACTGGCAACCGCATGGTGACCGCGGCCATCTTGACTGAGGGCGGTGCAGCACCGTGACCTCGTCCGCAGGCACCTTCCGGCCGCCATGTTGGCTACTGGCGGGAAGAACCTGAAGGCGCTGGCGTCGCCATCTTGACTGAGGGCGGCGCTGAGGTGTCCGGGCAGCCATATTGGTTCCTGTCAGGGAAGCAAAGGCAGAGGGCGGCCATGTTTAGTGAGGGCAGGCTGTGGGGCTGAGCGGGGGCCGGCTGCACGGGGGGCCCAGCACCCCGCTTTGGGAGGCCACCTCCGGCTAACCCTAACCCATGAGCCTGCCCTGCTGCATTAGGCAGGACAAGGGGCATTGGGGAACCCAGTGTTTAATGCCGCAAGCCCACATGTAGGGACTGCAGGAAGGCGTACACCCGGGTGGTGGTTAGACTTGGCTTAAGGGGTGAGTTGACAGTTCCCTTGGCAGAGCTCTTCTAATGGTAAATAATAGGGGTGGGTGGAAGTTTTGAGCATTTAATTCAAGCCCAGCTAGATTTGAGAGGTCCTGAGGAAATACCAAGGAAAAAGAAGGCAGCAATGACCTCCGGCAAATCCTTCTTTTCCTTAGCACCAAAAATCAGACTATTCCTCCAAGCGGGACTTGTGTGTGTAGCCCATCACAGCTGGAATATGACCATTAATTCATGGAAGATATTGAAGGATCTCAATAGCTGTTGCTTCGGATAGAGCATACATGTGGGCACAGGGAGGTACCAGACCTCACACTGGTACCTGCTTGCAGCCAGCACCCACCTCTTCTCTTTCATACCTGAAACGGGTCTTTCCTCTTCCCAACTGCACTATTCGCTCCAACAAATGATGCTACATCTCCTAATTCACCTCTTATTTAGTTGAAATCTCCACTCATTCCAACCACTACATCCCCCCCCCCCCCTTAACCAAATAAAGCTCTCCATACTGTCCCCTCTTCTAAACGATAAATGTTCCAAGTAGTTTTTATTTAGAATACAAGAGAGAGGTACAAATGTATTTACACTGTGTACATATACAATCAAATAATATAGAATATCAAAGTTCTGTAAATAATGTTTACATAAATATTTACACGGTTAAAGTGACACTTGTTCTTCTCGGGAAGTCAAAACACCGTTTAGTGAGAACTTTATACACCTTAGACTTAGAATTAAGATTAGAATAGCTTCTGTCGAGCTCTATGATACACAGCCCTCCCCTCTCGCCTATGGCAGGACTCCAGAGGGCGCTTGGAGTTGTCCTTGGGGACAGAGCTGGCCCAGGGACCGGTTTCCTCTGTCCCCGGAGGGCAGCAGAAGGAGCAGCCGAAGCGTTCCGGGGATCAGACCCCACAAAACCTGCCCGTAGATGGGCACTTCCAGCGGGGAGCATCCCTGTGGAACATGGCCTGTCCCCCCCCCCCCCCCTCCCCTCTGCCCATGGCATCGCTCCGTGGGGTCTGGCAAACCCCCAGTGCACGGCTCAGGGCTGGAGGAGGGCAGGCAAGGGTGGGGGCAAACGCAACCCTTTGCTCAATGAGGAGGGAAATGGGTCGCTTGGAAAGAGCCACCGGAGCCAAACAGGCACGAATAGGGCTGTGACAGTCTTTCAGTGGGATATGCATGAGCTGGACACTTGCTGGAGCACAGGAGAAGGGATAAGAGCAGCTTTTCCTTCTATCAGGTTATGTGTCACACCCAGGCAGGACTCACCAGGAAGCTTTTAGGTTGCCCCAGTGCACCAGCACATCCACACACACCATCCAGCTGTGGCCCTTGTCCCCCTGCTCACCCCAGGGACCAGCAGCACCCATCCTACACCGCATCTCCCCAGGGAGCATCCTGCATGGTGCGGCTCAGAGCTGGGGGGGGTCCTTCACCACCCCCCCTACCATACCCCACACAAACAGCAATGCTCCAAAACCCCACCAACACAAAAAGCAGCCCTGCCTCTGCCCCCCAGCTCTGCCACGGGTCAACCACCCCTAGTCCACTGCATGCCTCAGCACCGGTCTTTGCTGTCCCAAAACCCGCTGCCGCGCTGAGGGCTTCACAGCACCATGGTGGGGATGTGATGGGCCAGAGAAGCAGGATGGGGCACGGGCAGTGCCGGCGAGTGAGCCTGCAGGGAGGCGTTGGGGGGCCGATGGCGAGCGCTCTTCTGGTGCGCCCGCAGCCCGGCAAGCTGGGAATAGGCACTTTGGCAAACCTGGCACTTGTAGGGCCGCTCGCCGGTGTGCAAGCGGACGTGGTTGCGGAGGGTGGAGGACTGGCTGAAGCGGCGGTTGCAGAAGCGGCACACGAAGGGCTTGTCCAGCGTGTGGATGCGCATGTGGGAGCGCAGGTTGCTGCGGGAGTTGAAGCCGCGGTGGCAGATGACGCAGCGCATGCGCCCCGTCGTGCTGGCCCCCGTCTCCACCGCGTGGAAGTCCTCTGGGGACAATAGGGACCGTCAGGAGCTGCTCCAGGGCACAGCCTGAACCCCAATGGGGCAGTCCTAAATAACCACCCTGAGCCCCCTCACTGGCTCCCTTTGGGGTCACAGGCTGGTTCCTGGGCCTTCAGGATGGGACTAGAGCTGGGAATGGGCTCATGCGAATTTAGGTGAGGGGGAAACACTGAAGCCAACATGTGGCCCCGTAGAGGGGCACAAAAAGCAGTTTTCCCCACCCAGCTGTGTCAGGCAGTCAACCACAGCACTAACAGCAGCCATGGGCAACCCCCAGAATTACTGGGGGTCCACTCAAGCTGTATGGATCTGTCTCATAGTCCCTATGTCATCCCCAGTTCCCTTCAGAATCTGACATATCCTCTGGGATACACCTGCCCCATGCCCACCCTGTGGCCTCAGAACTGTGGACATGGTTGATGCAGAACAGGCAGAGATGCTGCACCCAAGGCTGTTTCCAATGTTACCTACCATGCTTGTTCTTCTTCTGCTCCTCTTCCAGCCCTGGCACACCTGGGATGCCCAGGAAAGTGTTATGGGAGTTCCCATACCAGACCAGCAGCTCTTGGTCTGGAGGAATCATCTATAAAAAGAAATAGAGATGGCATGTTGGGAGCAGCGATGAGCAGAGATGAACACCCTTGAACGGTCACTTCAGACCTACCCTGGCTATAGCCCATATCCTGCGAGGCCCTGCTGCCGTCTGGGACCTGCCAGCAAGTCCCCAGTACTCAGCACAGCCCACGCTGCAGCACTGGAGGCAATGCCACAGCTCAGCATCATCCACTGCCGGCACAAACCTGCACCGGGCTCTCCCCCAGGCTGGGCCACAAACATGACAGCAAATAAGCAGCTACAGAGCACACAGGTGGAGCTGGGGTCCCTGCAGCTCTCAGAGACATAGAGAAATAAACCATTTGTGGGCCCACGAACTGCGTGGATGCACAAGCGACAGACCAAAGCAAGGAGCCAGCAAAGGGCTCATCAGCCCAGGGATCAGGGACTGGTATGGGAGAGCGTAGTACAGGTGTGAGATGCTGCCCACAACCCACACCAAAGCCACGGTGCCTGCAACAGCCCAAGATCTATAGGGCCAGGAAAAGGTCTGTGCACCACCCATGCTCCAGTTTTCCTGAAATGATGGCACTTCTCATTCCTCTGTTATTCCCGTTACGTTCTGCACTGCTGGGGCAGCTGGAGCAACCAGCCTGAAAACGCCGTTCAAGCCTCCCCGCATGAAGCGGCCATGACTGGGAAGCTGGGTGCTCCGACACCGGTTCAGGCAACACTAATAACATCACTTTACAAAATATATGCATTTTCCCCTTGCAGGTCCCTGGCATTAAGAACGTAATTTAGAAATGGGAGACTCCTGCATTTCAGATAACAGCTTTCCATACGCAAGTAGACCAAGAAAAGCATCATCCACATGAAACACAGCTCACGAGTTGCATCACTCAAAGACTGATAATGTGCCTAATTTTAAGCACCCGAAAGCAGGAATTTGACTTCATATGCTTAAGTGCCCATCTGCTTAAAGACCTCACTGGGGCTGCAGAGTAGGTATACGGGAAAGGCTATATCATCTTGCATCCCAAATTGGTGCAGTTTCATTTTCTTTTAGCAGAAAATGAGTTATTTTTAATAGAAGCAAAGAGAATAAAAGATTGCTGAAAGGACACACCACATTACAGGGGTGCATACATGTGTGTGCAGGTTTTATCCTGCTGGAGCACCAGCAGGAGGTGAGCACACGTGTGCTTATGCCCCAAAGCAATTTAAACTGCCCTGGCAGGAATCTCGTGGCCTTCAGACCAAAGGCTAAAACTTGCTGCTCTCATTTTATTTTCCAGCAGCAGAAGCTTGGAATTGTTGAGGGCAGGAACAGAAAAAAACACATGGAAATATTAAAGACAAATGGCAAAAAAAGGCATAAAATAAACCTGATTTTGTGGAGGGTAGATGAGAAAGAGACCCTAAGGCATATTGCACTGCAGTGATGGTGCAGCAGAGGTGGGTACAGAGCGATGGGCCCAGCTCATGGTGCCCACTAGGAAGGGGATGCAGCAAGCAGGAAGCTTTGCATGGGGAGGGGATAAGGAGATCAGTAAGCCCCTCATGGCTGGCAGGGGATGGAGGGTGACAGTGCCCATGCACAGCACCCCCAGGTTCAGGTCACTGCATCCCCTGCCCAAGACTGAGCAGTTCTGGCTGGTCTCAGGGTGATGCTGTGCTCTCGGTTCAGGGTTTGTGGTGAGAGAAGTGACAAGGCAGGAAAACGGGTGACAACAGGGGCTGCTGAGGCCCGAGGTACAGATATCTGTGTGCCCGCAACTCCACATTAGGGGATTAACAAATGGAGAGAGAAGCACAAAAGGAAAATCCTCTCCTTTTCCTTTTCTTATTGGGTGCACAAACTCCAATGAGTTGGAACAAGTGGTTTTGGACCGCATGTGTGTGTGCATGCACATGTGTGCTGTAGAGGGGTGAATAGAGAGCCCACAGAAGATGCAGATCCTCAGCCCGTCATGCCTGGCTGTGACCCAGCTCCTCAAACACTCCTTGCTTCCCTTTCTTGCAGTCAAACACGTAAAGCCTCAGCCCTTCTGCTCCTCTTGTGCTGACCTGGTGGCAGTGGGAGCAGGAGCACCATGCCACAGGCACCCTTCATCCCCACACCTAGTTCTCCCCATCACTTGGGGTTCACCACTCTCAACATATCTGCTCATGACAAAGAGAATTAAACTTGTCCTGCTCTGGCGCTCACTGCTTCAGCCCTGGGAACAAGCCTGCAAACTGACCATGATTATAAGAGGGCCTCTACATGCACTTCCCCAGATATCAGCTCATCTGCCCCGTCATCCATGTTCACACAGGCTGTGAGATACATGGCTGAATTACACCATGGCCACGTGGAATTATTTTACTTCTTTGCAGAATAGGAACAGTAATAAGAAGCAATTAAGCTGCTGTCACTATTGTACAGCTGCCCAGGGGAGCATCAGGTCTCAAAACTGGGCACAGTTGAAGCCTATGGAGGGTTGTTCAGGATGGGGAGAGCAGCACAGGAGCGCTTGGCGCTTTTGCTTGAGCGCTGTGCGGGGAAAGGTGGCAGAACCGAGAGGCATATGGGACTTTCCCCAGCACAATACCTGTTCTCAGCCACCCAATATGCTTTTCCCATCCTGCTGCACCAATCCCACACCCAGCGCTGATGCTATCTCAGTTCAGGATTGGGCCATGGTCCTGTGCTGAGGAGCGTTTGAGCATCCACTCCTCTGTAAGACAGCCTAGGAGCCCAGGCTGATCCCAGGAGCTGCCCTTCCAAAGAACCAGTGGCACCTGCACTCTTTCCTAGCCAAGAGCCTCTCCCAGCTGCAGGCAGGGCAGCAGCCCATGCAGGTATGGACCCAATACCAGAAACAGTCCCACAGTGCTGGGAGATGTTCCCTCTTGTGACACCTCCCCGAGCTACCACCGGGTTACGGGAACACTCAACACAAGCAGGGCTGGTCCCCACTGTCACACCACTGGTGCTGCGTGACTTGTACGTAGGTGGCATCAATAAAGCTAGGGAGCCAGGCTCCCATCTCTATCCCAACATCTCCCGTAGGGAGCTGTGGGTACCTCCACCTTTAATCCCACAGCATGACAACCTGCGCTCTGGGAGCCAGTGCCTGTCCCCATGCCTCTGCCAGCACTTGATACAGGAGCACATGGATGAGTCAGGCAGAGTCGGTCCGTTCTCCACAGCCCCACTGTGGGTAGCCCAAGGCATGGGGGTACCAGCACCACTCCCTGCCTGGCTCCCAAAGGCCTGATTCTGCTGTTTACAGACAGAGTTGCTTATGACCCTGGGCAAAAGCTTTGCAGGGGCACAGGACTCCCCATACTTGCCCTGCTGCAGAGAAGAGGGTTCTGCACAAAAATCAAGAGGACATCAACGCCCCTTTCCTGACCAAATCCCCTCCTGGGCCAGGATTCCGGCTCTTATGCTTTACACCCCAAAACAAGCTTGGTGTTGTTTGCTCTCCCTCTGCTCAGCACACATCATCCCATGAACCCACTGAAAGGGGACAGAGAGAAGGGTCCTTTGCTGTTCCCTGAAGCTCATGCAATGGCTGTTCCCTGCAGGGCCCGCCTGTGCCAGGGGGTCTGGGTGCCGGCTACGGCAAAGCTGCCCTGTGCTCCCACAGACACACAGCAGCAGCCCAAAAGGAAAAGGGAGGGTCTGTGGGGTCCCCTGCTGCTGCTGCTGCTCCTTGCCCCGCTTACCTCAATAGCCTTGTAGAAGATGCTGTTCCCAATCTGGACCACCTCCAGGTTCTGCTCCTGCTCATTCCGCGCACATTTGATGTAGGTCATCCAGCTGCGGTGGTCCTCCTGGCTGGCATCGATGAAGTACCGCACAGTGCCATCTTCATTGAAGACCTGGGAAGGGAAAAGAACATTTGGTAGCAATGCTGCCACAGTGGAATGAACCTCATCACCTCCTGCACCTGGGATAACATCCCTGGGTGGACAGGGACAAGCTCAAAGCCAGCACAGCATCAGCGCTGAGACCCCTCCAGCAGCCAGGAAATTGCCAAACCCTTCCTGCTCATGGTGCTGGACCACACAGCCGCATGGGAACTGAAGAAAGGAGCTCTGCTTCTGCTTTGCAGGCGCAGCTGGCCCTACCAGCCCATGCCCACGGGGATAACGCAGCTCCCGGCCTCAATGCCCCTTTGCAGAAGGGGGGGCAACACCCTGCTGCTGCCCATGGGAGCCAGAGTATCCCTGGAATGGTGCCTGCCAGACCTGGACCTCAGGGGAAGAAGCTTTGGAACATGGTAGGAAAGGTGAGGCAAGTTTCTATTAGGCATAAATTTATAATAATCATTAAGAAGTGCAAGTCTAACACCGAGTGAAACAAATATAACTAGAGGAAAAAAAACCTCTACCCGCTGGGTATCAACCCAGCATGATGTCCTGGCAGCTCAGAACCCCATGGCTTCATTTGAGGTTAAGAGCCCCGGGGCTGGGACAAAGCAGGGGACAAGGCAGAGCTGTTTTCATGCGCTGTGCACGGGGAAGGACAGGGTGTGATCCTGCTGCACGGGACATGAGCAGCAGCCTTTCAGGGCTCGTCCAAGAGCTGGATGAAGAAGGCCTTGGGTCTCCCAACCCCACCTTCCCTGGAGGAAGCCAGCCCTTCGCACGGGCGGGGAGGCACAGGGAGGGTGCCTGACAGCACACAAGCACAGGGCAAAGCCCGTGGGCCCCGGCACCACATCCCTGCTGCTCCCCGGGGCTGGGGATACTGGGGATGTCGTTACCTCCCACATGAGGTTGTTGTTCTTGCACAGGTCCACATGCTCGGGCGAGATGACCCTGCCCGTGAACGGTCCCATCTCGGTGCCAGCCTTGATCCAGGTCTTGGAGAAGATGCCGAGCCCTTCCCCGGGGATGGAGCTCTGGGCGATGATCACTTCCGACGGCAGCACCAGGCTGGACAGCTTCTGCACCTCTGCGGGCAGCGGCAAGGGGGCTCGGACCGGGACCTGCCGCCCTCCTTCCATTCACCCCCTGCCCACCCCACCGCGGGGAAGCCCGAGGAGGGGACAGAGGGGACCCAAATCCCGGGGCTGAGCCTTTGAAACGCCCAACCGGGCTCCTACAAAGCGGTACAAGGTTCCCCCCGGGGCATTGAGGAGATACCTGGGAAAAGCAGCCCCGGCCGGGCGAGGGAACGGGGCTGAGAAAGGAGGTTAAATGGTGTCTATTTCGCCCCATCCAGCAATTTGTCATGCTGTTAAAGTGATCTGCATTCATTAAACTCAACTAGAAAGAAATTGCTAATTCTAAATTCATTAGTCCTTTAGGAATGCTGTAGCGGTACATTGTGCCTGAATGGCGCAAGGGCTTGTTTAAAAGGGCCCAGGAATTCCTCTTACAAAATGGGGAGATGAGATGGTTGACATATAGTGAATGGAAATGGAATTAGCCTTCATGGTAAATTAAGAGAGGAACAGAAAATCCGAGAGGGGGAAAAGGGAGCCGGGACGCCCCGGCGGTGCCGGGGCGAGAGAAAAGATATTGTCCCGGGCGGCTGAATACGGGTCGTCCCCCCCCGGCTCCCCCCAGCCCGCGGTTTAAGTGGGAACTTTCTCAGGTCAAGCCCAAGTTAACCAAATGAATTTAAAGCCCTTCTTCCCCAGTCAACTGCTATTACACGGCTGGGGAGAGCCGGGCGCCGGCAGCCACGTCCCGCCGCCGGGCACTGGGGGGGCCCGTCCCGAGGATGAGGAAGGGGGTCCGGAGGGTCCGGGTGTGTGTGTGTGTGTGGGGTGTGCACTCACCTCCGGAGAAGGACTGAGCCAGGACCTCAGCAGTGAAGGCGGTCTTGGGGCTGCTCTTCTCCTCGAAGAGCTGCTCGCCCAGGACGTTTCTCCAGCGGCCGTAGAGGAAGCTGTGCAGGATGTCGGAGGTGATCACCTCTGCCAGCGAGAGCCCCTGCGGCTTCAGCCCGGGCTTGAGCACCAGCGCTTCGGCGGGGAGCACCGAGCCCATCATGGGGGCGAGGCAGCGGCGGGCGGGCCGGGCTCGGCGGGGCGCAGGCGGCGGGCCGGGCTCCGTGCGGCTCGGTGGCTCCCGCCCGGCTATATATGAGCTTCATTGACCCTCCTAATTGGTTATTAATGACCTCCCTGACGTTGGCGGAGAGACTGGGGCTGCCGGAGCGAGGCGAGCCGTCGGAGCCCCCCCCTCCCCTTCTTCTTTTCCCTCCCCTCCCCGGGGGTGGGGTGGCTGGAGGGAGGGACACGGCGAGCACACACGCATGCACACACATACACACGTATATACATATATATACACACGTATATACACACATGTACACACGCACCGCTTCGGCCCCTCGCACCCCCCTGGCCCAGGCAAACGCAAACCCGGGCACCTGCCCCCCGGCCACCCTCCGGGAACGGCGAAAAGGCAACGAAATGGGCAGCAATGAGCCCCCCGGTGCCCCACAGACGGGGCGCGCCCTCCGGCCCGGCCCCGCTCCCCACCCGGTCCCTGCGCTCGTTTTTTGGGGTGAAACGCGGCGCTTTGGGGCCGCTGCGCATCACAACGAAATCAGAGGAGCCGGGGCCGTCTCCCAGCCCTGCTCAGCGGCTTCGGGCCCCCGCGGCCCCGGGAGAACGGACCCGAGTTCCCCCGGTGAGCCCTGAGCCGCCGCGGATCCCCACTGCACCCCGCATCCCCGAGCCGAAGCGTCGGTACCGGAGACAGCGGGAGGGGCCGGCGCTGCCCCCCAAATCCTAGGGAGGGTCCCCAAGCACAGAGTGAGAGGGGACGCACCCTCGGGGCTGTTTCCCGCATGCAACCGGGGCCGGGCTCTCCCGGATGCAGCCTCCAGCCCGGCCCGTTCCGAATCCCGCATCCCCGTTGCATTTACCCAGGGAAGGTGGGAACGACCGCGAACTGTGCCTACGGGTGGAAGGGGCAAGAGTGGATCCTCCACTTCCCCACAACGACAACAGTATCCTGAGCATCTCCGGGGCTTTGCCACCACAGCACCCTCATTCCCGCACCCAAAACCATTCCCCGGCCAACCCTGCTCCCCGGGAAGGTGACATTAGAATGGCCCCCCAAAACTCAGTACTCTCCCCCGCTTAGGGCCCGCAGCTTTCAACTCAGCAAAGGGTTAATCTTTGCTGGATTTAAACCCAATCCTGCTGTGTCGGAGCTTAGAGCCCTCTCCTTAGCCTTGTTCTTTTGATTTTCATGGGGACGAGGGGCTGTAAAGGGCTGAGCTCGGGGGGGAGGAAAGAAGGATGGGTCCCCAAATTCCTCAAGCTCTCAAAGTCGGCTCCTGCAACTGTAGCCCCGCGGGGCCGAACCGGGCCGGGGCAAGAAACTGGCACAATCCAATCCCTCTAACCCCACGGCCCCGGTGGGTATTTATCGGGTGAGGCTGTCGGGCAGCTTCTCCCCTTGTCAGGCGAAAATGATGTTACAGCCCAGGTGCAATTATTTCTATTAGCCCAATCAAGAAGAGGGGCAAATGGCAGGAATCAACCTAAACCTGCGGTTACGGAGCGTGTTTGCCCGGAGACAGGCAGCCCTCCCCTGGAAAGGGGAGGTTAACAACCTGCCGGGCTTGCTTTGGGGTTTAATGTGCATTAAGAGAGGAGTTTATTTGGGTTTATTTCGCTGGATTTTGGCTACGGGAGCCGCCAGCCGCGTGCGAACATCGCAGCTTCGCTAAATAGAACGCATCAGGTGGAAAGCTCCCGCAGCCAGCGCTTCCTGCGGCCGCCGAGCAGCCGATCCCTCGCGTTGCCTTTTTCCTTAAGGATTTCCCCCCCTCCCTCAAGTTATCCCGGGACAAAAAATATAATAGATGCCCTTAAAACCCCTGCGGGGCTGCGCTGCAGCTCGGCCCGGCTGCGGGGGATGCGGGGATGCGGGGATGCGGGAGGGGGGTGATGGCAGAAAAGATGGGAAAGAAAAACCCTTCCATTTTCCGCGTGGTTTTAAATATCCCCAGCTGTTTCCCAAAGCTTCTTCCCGGTCCTAGGAAGGTGCTTTGGTGTGCCCCCTCCTCATCCCTCTCTTTTTTTTAATATCGCAGCTATCCCTCCTTTTTAACATTTAAGAGGAAACAAGTTTAATATTCATGGCTGTTAATAGAGAAGGGCCATTATCGCCGCCCCATTGTTCTGAGCCCCGCACAATGCTGCTTGTATTTTCATGTGTATATTCCCAAAGTTCCTTCTGAGCGTTTAGTGAGCACTTTAATATTCATGGGTGTTAATAGAGAAGCCCTCAGTATATTGGCATATTGTTGGGAGGTGTACATATTGGTCTGACTTTGAATAGCCACAGTCCTCTTTTCTTTTGCTCTGTTTTGCAGGGTTGATGGGCCAGGAGTAAATGGGCATTTTTTCCCCCCCGTCTCCCCCTTACAGAGAGAACATCTTTATTCCAGTCCCAGACTTTCTGGTTTCCCATTCAGGACCCTCAGAAATAATGTCAGGCAGAAGAAAAGTGGAGCAAATCAATCTTTCATGGTCTTTTTGAGACCAATTTGACATCCATGGACTCTTCTTTTCTTTCACAGCCTACAAGGGGATGGTCAGGATCTGGACAAGGTTGGGGTCTGATGAGGGGAGACATGGGATCATAATGCAGCAAAGAGAGAAAAGAAAAGCAAAACAAGAAAAGATTGCAGGGATGGGGTGATGGAGGAAAAATGAGGGTGAATGACAGTGCAAGAAAGGAGATTAGAGCCCAGCAGCTGCTTTTTGGGGGGCGGGGGGTAAGGGGGGGAGCTCTCGCCCCTCTTCCAGCCCTTCGCATGAATAGGATTTGAACAGAGCGGAGATTGATTTATAGTTATTGCAGTCGAACATTTATTGCTCTTAAAGAGCGGCGGGGAGAAAAGAGAGAAAAGGGGCTTGAAAAGCTCCTTTCTGTATTAAAGAGGTATCAAATGAAGACTGCTGAGATAATATACAGTGGCCAATGGGAATTTGATTTGCTTTAAAATTTAACTCTTGTGGGGCCGCCGCTGCCCCGGGCCGAGGGATGCTCGCTCCTCTCCCCCTGCCCGGTTCTACCGCAGAACGCTGCGGCGGCTCCCGAGCGCGGCGGGGAACGGCTCCGGCCGCGGAATCAATGTTAATTCTTCGTTATTGCGCTCTTTTAATTTATCATTTGGGGGGGGGGGGGGGGAGATGGACTGGGGGGGGTGAAGGCGGGCGGTATGCGGAGCTGCGAAATAACCGGCGCAAGGAAGAGCCCTTTTCGAAGCTGAGTTTTCCTGCCCTAAACCCGTAGGTTTCATCTCCCCGCAGCAGAAACGCGATCGCAGCCGAGTCCCCCGGGCGCAGAAAGGAGCCCATTGTTCAATGGGGAGAAATACATTTTTAGCGGTGATTGAAAGCTCCCCTCTCGTTTGAACTCCAGAAGAAAGTCCCTGGCAGGGAAGAGCATCCCCCCTCCCTCTGCCCCAACATCTGTTTGGAGCAATCCAGGCTCTAGGGCAGAGCCGGGCTCTGCCCCCTCCCAAAGTCATTAAAAAGATATTAGTTGAGCTGAGAAAAGTCCAGCGCAGCCCCCGATGAGGAGGGGGGGGTTGCGTGTCATTAAACACGGGTTTGGATTTGCCAGCGCTAACACCAGGCGAAGGCACAGACGGGGTCTGAGTTCAAAACCTCCCCGTCCCCGGCCGCCCCTCTGCGCCCTGCCCGCTGCCCCGGGCCCTGGTACCCGCGGCCGGAGCAGTGCGGCGAGGACGACCCCATCACCTGCCCCGTACTGCCCGCCGAGCTCCGCGGGAGAGGAGGACGGCGGCGACAGCCAGGCCCGGAGCGGGGCCGGTCACTGCTTTGGCCGCATCCCCCTCACCTCCACGGGCTGCAAATGCCCCGGGAGCCGGAGGGAAGGAGGGGCAGGAGGGATCATTGCACCCCTGCGGCTGCCGCAGGAGCCAGGCGCCTCCGAAGTTGCTAAATGTGTCATTTATTAAAGCATTCAGGGGGCTTTTCTTTGGCGTTTGCTTGCGAACTCACAAAGGCCGAGCTGCTGTTTGGGGGTCTTTTCTGATGGAAAAAGGGCTCGGAGACCCCCGGCACAAAAGAAATCCTGGCAGTGCTTTCAATGGCCAGGACTCAATGAGGGGGACCCTGTGCGCAGCGGGCGGGGGCGAGGGGCCGCCCGGTGCTGCCTGAAAGGCAGGCCTGAATGTAATGGGGAGATCTGCGTTTATTTGTTGGGATCACATTTAATTAGCTTAGTACAACCCTTGAAAGACAAAGGGACCTCAATCTGGATCCAATCTGAAGCTCGTTTGGAGAGCGAGGGCTCCTGGAAAAGTCAAAAGAGAGAAAGGAGAAAGAAAAGGGAGGCTGGGAGAGAAAGAGGCTGGGGGCCCAGCCAGGTGACTGGCACGCGTGAAACAAGGGGGCCTTTTGGGCACAAGGCAGGGCTCAAAAGGGAGGGAGGAAAATAGCCTCTTCCTCAGGTTTTACCTACTTAAACCCTCTGAAGGGGCCAGAGCTGAAAAGCCTCAATAGGGGCTAAGGAGGCTGCAAAGCAAACAGCAGCGCTGGAGAGGGGGCTCTGGCCCTGCTGCTGCACCAGTTGGCAGCACTCGGTTATGGGAATGTGCCCAAATGTTACCTGCGGCCGGGAGCGCTCCCACCGCCCGCAGCAGGAGCCGTGGGGGGGATGAGGTGATGCTTGGGATGAGGCGATGCTCGGGATGAGCCTCGGTTGGGGGGGCTGGCGTGGCTGCCCCTTGCCCATCCCCATGTCCCCCTATAGGGTGAGACCCCCTGCTCTGCACCTCCACCTACCCCTGTGGGGCACACACAGCCCCGCTGCCCCATTCATCATGTGCCATAGCTGCCCTGGGGTACCAAGGAGAGTCCCATGGGAGCACCCCTTGTGCCAGGGCAGCCCTCAGCATCCCCCCTCCCTGTCCCAATGCGGGTGGATGGCAGAGAGGATGCGCTACCACCTCCCCAGGGGCATAACGGAGAGGGGCCATCCCCAAGGTGTCACATCCACGGGATGGAGCCGAACAGACCCGCATCTCCTCCAGACCACAGCCCTGTGCCGTGCTGCCCATCCCTGCTGCCCTCCGAGGGGCCAGGAGCAGCGGGAGGGCTCAGGGTGACCCTGGGCAAGGGTTTGGGGCGGTGGAGCCATGACCCTCCAGCACGGAACGCTGCAGCCCATGCGAACCGGGCGGGCTGATTGCACTGATGGGAAAGGAGCTTTAGGGCATTATTTGCCTCCATTTCTCTCTGCGGGAGGCCGCGGAGCCGATCAGGGATGCTGAGAGCTCTCCCCTCCGTTCATTTCTTGCCTGTTTTTCCTTTCCTTTCAGCAGCATTTCCAGGGTTGTTTTGGCGAGGGTGCCACAACAGCAAATGGGAGGCAAAGAAACGACATTCCCGGCTGCATCCGACTGCTTCATGGGGCACGGAAAGGAACACGGTTGTGGTGTAACTCCTTGGCCATGCGTTGTGCTGAGGCACAGGGCGGTTGGATGCCAGCATCACAAGGCCCTTGCTGAGCTGCTGGGAAGCACCGAGTGTGAAACAGCCCCACAAGGGCCTTTCAGCCCCATTTGGATGCAGAAGCAGGAAAATCCCTGCACCTTTTCCTCCCCTCGGGCAGTGACCTGCGGCCGGCACAGTCACATCCCAGCACCATCTCTTCTGCATCCCACTGTAACCCCTCCTGAAGCACCAGCCTGTGCCGCTGCACTGAAATCCACCCCGGTGACTGTACCAAGACACCAGCCTGGAGTGTTCCAGCACCTGGGGCAGGCCGTTTGTGAACACTTGCAGGGATGGTAACGCCAGCACTGCCCTGCTCCAATGCCTGAGCACCCTTTGGGGAAGGAATTGTTCCTCATCTCCACTCTTAGACAAGCCTCCTGCAGCTCCTGCTCCTTCCCAGCCCTGTTCTCCCCAGCAGCTCCTGTGTCCCCATGCAGTGACTCCACAGCAGGTGAATGGCCCAACAAGGAGCCCTGGTACCGGTGCTGCTCACCGGGGCTCGGCCGGCGGCGAGTGATGGCTCCCACAAAGGGAAGGGACCATCGAATCCCCTGGCACCGCGGCACCTGCACCCGGCCGGGATTAAAGGGAGCCACCGGCCCCTGTGAACATCGGAGGCTGCTTCATAGCCTTGAAATGGGATTTCTTCAATGATGAGGGGCAGGGTGGGAAGTTAAACTGGGGGGAGATGGGGGGTGTGGAACCTGGGTCCCACATCAACACCAAGATGCTCTTTTGGGTCACCTGCCTGGAACCTGGTGCTCCAGACAAAGGGGGGGGGGGGATCTGGGCACCTGCTGCCCGGTCCCCCTTGTCCCAGGGTCCTCATCCCTTCCCATGACCCCCCCTCCATCCCCAGCACCCACCGAGGTGCTGCTGGGACAAGGGCAAAGGCTCAGTGCCCACTCGCTCTGGGGCTGCCATCTCCTCTCACCAACAGAGCAGGAGCCGTGGCTGTTTCATCTTCACATCGCACAGCTCCAGTTTCTGCTGATTTCCAGCATGAAAAGTCACGGAGAATCCCCTTTGTGTGCTTCCCAACCCTAGGAGCTCAGAGAAATGCCCCCTCTGCGATGGGCACCCTGCACCTCACTGCAAACCCAGGGGAACCCCCTCCAAGCCAGCCAAATAAAGGCTCAACAGCTCCTTATGTGGAATAAAACCCTGCTAAAGGGTACACCAATGCCTTCACCTGCACAGGTCCCTGTGAGACCTCAACTCCTCACCTGCACCACAACCTGTAAGGACCAACAGCCCCCAGTATCCCCTCAAGGGCGAGATGAACCAAGTGGGACCTCGCCAGCATCCCCATCGCGTCAAGACGCTTCGTGTTAAAACACCCTGTGTTCGTTCTCCCCATGCCCACGCCGCCATCACCCCCAGATTTACTGTAACTACACCGTTGCTTCAATGCAATTAAATATTTAATACTTGGGGAGGGAAAGATCCCAACCCCACAGCCTCGTGCCTGCTCGTCTCCTTCAATCCCCGTCTCGGTTTAACCTGCAACGTCCATGACGCAGCTCGCTCTCAAATCATGCAACATTAAAGGAAGTATTTTAGGCGATCTGAAGGCTCTTTTTAGATCTTTCAGATGCCTTAAAGTCTCCCTTTTGCTCCCAAAAGAGCCTTTGCCTGCTCAGGCACACCCAATACAGAGCACAGGAGAGCACCGGGGTCATCGTGAGCCCATCATCAGTGATGTGCTTTGGGAGGCTGCTGCTGGGACAGAAGGAGCACAGGAAGCTTCTATTCAGTAAGAGGCCTCTCTGTGCCTGAAGAGCTGCTGCACCAATGCACAGGGACTCACCTGGGGTGGCCTTTAAGCATGGTCCCTCCATCCCTGGGTGCTGTGATCCGAAGGCAGAGCGTTCCCCAAGCTGAAGGTCTCCTTTGCGGGAGCATCTTGCGGTCCCCTGGGTTTAACACCCAGGCACGGCCCCGTGCTGGTCCCTGCAGTGGGAAAGGGCTGTGCTGTCCCCACCACCATCCTCCTACATGGCTCCTTGAGGACCTGCTCCTTGCAGCGCCCAGCTCCTGCCCAAGGGGCAGACAAACCCCCCCCGTCACAGGCCCTCATGCAGCCGATGCTTGACCCACTTCACTGGGGGATTAAACTTGAGCAGGACACTCAGTTCCTCTCTTGGAGACCACGGATGTGGCTTGAAGGCACCACAGCAGCTTCTGAGCTGTGCAATGAGGAGCTGCCAGAGACCCCCTGAGCAAGACACGAGGTGCCATGGGGTGGGATTGGCCATCACAGCAGCCCCCAGGGCAAGAAGGCAGCAGCATCTGGAGGAACCCAGAGGCCACCAGTCCCTGTGAGATGCCCAAACCTCTCTTTACCTCCTCTCCAGCCCAACAGAAAGAGGCTGAACGCCTGCAGCCCCTCTGCCCCGAGCAGGCAGCAGTAATGGAACAACAAACTGCAGAACTTGGGCTGGTTTCAAGCCCTTTGGGCTGCCAGGGCAGCAGAGTGCTGCTGAAACCTCAGCTTTGCCGGCACCATCCTAATGACAGGCCCAGTTTCAAAGCCTTGCAAACTATTTCTTTGGCCTCCCCACCCCCTCGATAAAAGCTTGCATCAGAAAGAGATATTTCCATAATTCATCGGGCGGGTATTTCACTGGGGAGCCTCTCTCATCTGTACTTACAGCTACATTTAAGAAAATGCATCCTCCCACCATCCTGCGCCATTTACGACCATGGGCACAATCTGTAATCCTCAGTCTTCAATTAAGGGACACCTTAGGGTTCATTATCACACAATTGCTCCCTGTGAACCATGCCAAATGCTGTTTTGGCACAGAGCTTGGAAGATGAATTAGAAGGAAGTCTTCTCGGTAATGCCCACTCCCAATTCCCATCAGCAGCCTTTATGCCCTCCTCCAGCCATTTTTTCCCCCCTCTCCCTTCTTTCCAAGTGGCTTTTACTATCCCATCTTTCAATGTCTCTCTTGATTCTCTGGAGGTATATTTAGAGATGCTACATCTCCTTTTCTTCCGGCTCTCAACATGCCTCCCGCTCCCTGCTTTGCAGATGGGATCTTCTTTCCTCCCTCCCCCCATCTGGAAGCCCCTACAGCCGGCTGGGAGCAGTGGATGGGGCTGGTTTAGGTTGGAAGAGCATAAAACTTGTATTTTATAACAAAGGGATTGCTGGAGTCCTGGCCAAACTTGGTCATAAGTAAAAGTTACTGCTCCGTAACACGATCAAATGGATGGGGATGGCCAGAGCCAGGTCCCCCACTGTGTGCAGCGTGGAAGGTGAATCCTGAATGGATCCAGCCTCAAAGTTAGGGAAGAGCAACAGGTTCAGGGCATTAAAACCCGGTGCTGCCACCTCCTCAACAAGCAATAAAACCTCCGTTACAGCAACCAGCCCCTGATTAAACCAGCTCTTTAACAGCTGCAATCACAGCACCTCACTGTGATGGTACCCAGAGATGCTCGGATGTGACACTGATGGAGCCTCACCAGAGCCGAGGCTCGAGCCGACTTCACCGAGCACCAAGGCTCGAGGGCCGTGGGGAGTAAAGCGAGGCAACCAGACCGGAGATAACTTGAGCCACAAGACACCTTGTGGAGATTTTATTATATAGAGTGTAAAATGCAACTGTCAGTCAAATAAAAAGAACACGTTTTGTGTTTAAACACCATGCTCGACGTTACCCAATTGCAGTTGGTTGGGTTTTTTTTTGTATAGTTAGACATTTCAAGCATAAGGAAACCAGAAAACAGAAGGAAAGAACCCAAGAGGGGTAACTTCAGTACATTGCAAAACGGAATGTCCCGCGGGGCAATGAGAAAGGCAAGAAAATAATAGCTTCGATTCCGTTTCTCCTTTAAAAATACACTGTTATCTGTACAAGAAACACTACAGTAAACATCAGAAAAATCATATTATCCCTTTTATTAAATCAAAAGTACTCAGCGCGTACTGTGGTTAATACTAGATTCATTTCTTCTCTAGGTAATCTGACAAATATTAGATAAGAAAATATTTAAAAGAACTGAAAAACAAAAAGCCAAAAAAAAAACAAAAAACAAAACCCAACAAAAAAACCAACCCCCAAAACAAAACCACCTTGGAATTAAAAAATAGTTACTACCTTTTATATGGTTTCTTTTTTAATCTCCGCGTTCCACAGTGTTTGTTAAAGGTACTAATAGCAGATTCATTTTAATATTAAAAATAACAGTATTTATATTTCTGAGCATAGAGGAAAGTTTTATTTTTTTTTAAATTCTTTTTTTTTTAATTTATTTTCTTTTTTTTTTATTATTATTATTATTATTTTTTAAACCAAGCTTGGAGGTCTTAGATCCAGAAATGCAACGGGAGGGAGGAACGGGACTGCTACAAAATCAACACCGCTTTATATTACCCCTTTAGACTCTTAGAAATTATACAAACCCTACAAAACGTGTGGGTACCCCCCCCCCTTCCCAGCCCCTCACTTGCCTGACAGCGAAACGGTCCCTGTCTCAATACAGAATTCACATCATTAATTACAATACATAGTCCTTAAAAAATAATGCAATAAAAATCAAAAAGACAGCCAAAGAACATGGAATTAGAAGTAAAACATTTCAGGAATTTACATATTTAAGAATATTTAAATACTGTTTAAAACCTTTTTTTTTTCTCTTTTTTTTTTTTCTTTTTTCCTGTTTTTTTTTTTTAGGATTTGTTACATACCACCTAAGACTTCCAAGCCACTTTCTGTCAGAACAGAAAAGATTGAGAATGAAAAAGGAAGAGGGGGAAATACCCCCCCCCCCCAAAATAAGAGCACACACACACAAAAATAACCCAACGTGTTGAAATGTCACAGCTCTGGGGTGCGTTTTGGTGCCGGCAAATTCTCTGGCTTCTCTCCAAAAAGGATCCCGGAGGTTTATTATTATTATTATTATTGATTCTCATGATTTCTCTCTTTAAAACAAATTTGGAAACAAAAATGACCAGCGCGTCCATGAGTTTAGTACGTGACTAAATTGCTCCTGATTCCTTAGCGAAGTTCAGTATAGGTTATCCTACCACTAGTGTTTCACAGACGGAAAAGTCTTCATCAAAAGGCTGCAAATCTAGAAACCTCTGTTACAAAAAGGTTTTTCTTCCACAATGATTCCAAGGAAAAAGAAAACAAAACAAAAAACAACCCCCAAATAAAATTGCCACGAGGACCTTGTTCTACTGCTCCTAAAGAGGGAGGGAAAAGGAAAAGTTACTCAGCGGCAGCCAATTCTTTACGCTGTGCAAGCCTCCTCCCTCCCGGACACAGGCAGGTCTCTCATTCCCCGCTCCAGCCGAGCGGGATGTGCACCTCCAGCGATGCTCGGAGCCGCTATGGAAGAGATCTGAGCCCTGGGCTCCGCAAGGCTCCCATGGAACAAGATCTCTCTTCTCCAGAGGGCCAGGCGTTGAGCGGGGAATGAAGAGAACTCCCTTTCATCACCACTTCCAGCTCACCCCTGGCCAGCGCCCGCGGCAAGCGCCGGTTCCCGCACCAGGCTCGACCTCGGCGGTGCCGAGCGGCAGCCGCTGCCTGAGGACAGGGCTGGCAGCCCAGGGGCATCCCAACCACCTCCTGCCCCACGGAGTCAGGATGCAAGCATGGATCAGTGGGGAGCTTGGATCGCACCAAGGTGTGCGTGTGCTCTGCACATGATTTCTGCCAAACGCTAAGACATTCGCCCTGCAACCCCGGCACGCGGGAAAGCTCTGCGGGGGCGAGCAGGATAAATCCCACTCAGCCCTGTACGGGGCTGAGATTTTACTTGGCAACTGGTTAATCCGAATTGTTATTCCAACAGATTTCTGCTCCCTTTCAGGACAGGCTGCTCCCTCCCCAAGCAAGAGCACCCCTGATCCCTGCTCAAAGCCCGCAGGAGGAAAGGCAAAGCCTGCACATACAGACCTGCACTGCGTGATGTGCTAGTGTTGTGCCACCTCGCCAGCCTGGCACCATCATTCCTTTATTCCCCAAAGTAGCCAGGGGGTTATAAGGAAAGCCCCCCAGGAAATAACCTCCTAATCTCCTCCCAAAACCCCCCTCACTCTGTACAGGGCAATAAGATTCTGATGCTGAGCACTTCGTTCCTCAGCCACAAAATACCTCTGCCTTCACCATGTGAGCCCAAAGCAGAGTCCACACACCAGGACAAGGCCAATGCACCCAATTCCCTACAGGAAAGAGCAGTGGGGTTCAGGGAACAGGAATACAGACCTGGCTGTGGGCCTGAGCCTGCCCTAGTGTCTGCCCATAGTAAGCAGCTTGCTGTCTGTAATACTCTGCCCAAGCCATTGTGTAGTCCGGCTGGGAACTTGCCTGAGAAGCAGCACTGGCAGCATGACCTGGATGGAGGAAAAGAAGGGAAAAGGAAGAGGTGAACAATTCCTTAAGACCAAGCCCAGGCTTAGGATCTCCTTCTGTAAAGCTTAAAGAAGAGCCAGCAGACATCTGGAAGAACAGCAGCAGCTCCCTGCTGGGTGGGTAGGACAGGACAGGCTCTGAGCTGGCCTTGCAAGCCCACAGCAGCCAGCAAGCACCAAGACACCATTCCTGCAGCTGCAGGGACACGGTCTGAGCACCTGCACCCTTCCTCCTCGGCCCAAAGGCTCCAGCAACACAGCAGCAAAAGCAGATCCAGCAGTCGGCACCACCGCTTCTTAACGGAGGGAGAAAGCCAGGCCCACGTCACCCCACGTGCACAGAGCTCTCCTGCCCTCACAACAGCCCAGCTTCAGGTTCCTGGCTTTTGTTCCCTGTGCACTATGTTCTCCCCAGGCAGAACAACTGCAAGCACGGACACGAGGTCTGCTGTGGACTGTGGTTCAATGGGAGCAGCTCTCCTGAGCTGCAACAGCAGAAAGCACAACTGAGAGCTTTCACTGGGAGAACTACGTGCACCATCACCAAAAGGAGGGGACCCAAGGGTTCTGTAGAGGATTGGAAGCTAATTATGGCAGGGAATGGAGACATAAGTTATGTGATTACAGTAACTGTTTGAAACAAGGGTTTGTTCGTCTCCAGTAACCCTGTTCCACTCACTCTGCTTTTTGAAATACTCCTCCCATGCTTTGCTGTAATCGGGATGGCTGTTCTGCTGCTGGCTCTGTTGGCCTGTGCAGAGATGACAACAAAGGGCCCATCAGTGTGGAACAGGTAAGTTTCCAGCCAGTGACATCTACCTTTGCACTAGACAGGCCCTGGATCTACCTCTGCTGCCCAGACTTCTCAGTGCAGCTTTCACCTTCTTACAGTATTGGGAATCTTCAGTTCTGGGAAAGCCAAGGAAAAGCTCCAGCTCCTGATTTCACTTCACCTGTGCACAGTTAAAGGGCATCAAGCCAAGCCTCCCCATGCTGAGACCTGCTCGAGCTGAAGCACGCAGGTTGGGAGCTGCTCAGTCTGCACATCCACAACACCCTCCTAACAGCCACAGCCAGCTCTGTGACAACATCTCCTGCACTGAGAGACCTCACAGACCCCAAAACCTTGGGCTTCACTAGCAGAGAGACCCCTCTTCAGAGCCCCAGCACATCCAAGTGCTATCGCAGGGGTGAGTCTGGGTGCAGCCACGGGATGCCTGCACTTCCCTCAGCCACAGAGCCAAGAGCCCTGAGCAGCACACACAGCCAGCAGAGAAAGCCCTGAACAGAGCACACAGCAAACAGAAACTGCAGCGAGAGACAGGCACAGGCTGAGCAGGAGCCACGGGCAGCAGGCAAGGAGAGGAGACACGAGTGGGGAGAGCTCTTCCCAGCCCATCCGTGCTCCAGGCACAGCCCTGCCCTGCGACACCAGCCTAAGGGGGGGCTTTGAAGCTGGGGTTGGGGGGGGAAAGGCGGACAATAATACACTGCAAGCGTGAAGTGGGTGGAGGGAACAGGGCAGCAGTGTGCTGTCCAGAGGCATAAAAGCGGGTTAAAAGACTTGACCAACGCTACAAGTCAGGACCTTTTCTGGCAGAGGTCAAGGCTGCCTCAACTGTCCACCTGCTAACGCCAACAAAGGCCCTCCCTTCAATGCCTTTTCTTCGAGCAGCGTTACAGTCGGCAGCGGGCTGAAAGGACACGCAGCCAAAGGCGCTTCACTCTAACACGTTTCCCTGGCCAGTTCATTTATTGGAGATGGGGGAAGTAATTAAAATCTAAATACATGTGTAGGGGGTGGGGGCCTGCCCCTCCTCCCATGCTAAGGGCACTCTCGGCTCGGTCCCTAGGAAGCGACTTGGAGGACTCGGTGGCTCTCTGACAGCCGCAGGCAAACAGGCTGCAGCTCCCAGGGAAAGGAGCCTCCTCGAGCCTGTTGGCAAATTAAAGTGCAAGAGCAGGTATTTACCCAGTGTTTTATAATAACCCTCCATGCACTCCACCTGGCCTGACTGGGTACCACTGCGATCTGCAGCAGGAGAAAGCGGCGAAGGCTGCTTAAAGCACAGCGTTATCCCGTCTGTCCTCTCTCCTTACCAAGACTGCCTTCAGAATGCCTGGCTACAAACAGGAACTTGGAGGGTCCTAAGTAGACATGGAATTAGAGAGCCAATATTTTCCATTGGGTTCAACAGCAGAAATAAAACATCTGCCCCGAAACACGGTGTCATGGTACTAAACCCATAGAGGGGAAGGATAATGGCAAGGCAGGATGCTTCACTAGTTTTAAGAGCCACCACAAACTCACTCTAAAGCAGCCGTGTATCCATTGGGATACAAAATTCACTATTGGTAACCAGGGGATTAAAAGGGTCTGTCACCACGATACCAAATGATGACAGGCTCCAAAGCCAGGATGTGCGAGCTCAAGACATGAGCTGATGTTGCAGGAAGGGAGATTTCTTTTCCCCTGTGGCTGGTGGGCAGGATAAGAGGATGTTTCAGGGAGGGGAGAAAAGACAAGTTACTAAAGTGAATCTCTAAAGGCAAATAGCAATGTACATTTGATAAGCATTCAAGACCAGGCTGGATGAGGCCTTGGGTGATATGGTTTAGTGTGAGGTGTCCCTGCCCATGCAGGGGGGTTGGAACTTGATGATCTTAAGGTCCTTTCCAACCCTAACTATTCTATGATTCTATGATTTATTCAGAGGCTTTATGGGAAGATAAAGATTCCATTTTTAGTAGAGTTTTCCCTGCTGCACTGACTGCTCTGCTTCCCAAAGCTCAGGGAAGTCCAGTGCTCTTGGGGGTGCATTTTCTGTATCTCCTTTCCCAGTTTTTCTATCAGACCGGGAAATGAACAGCGAGAAGAACTCAAAAGGAACATCCTCAAAAGAAAGTAAGCAAGAAGCGATAAGGTCAAGAACAAAGAGAAGGGCAGGCTCACCACTGCCCACTGCGTGCCTGCTGGGGGAAGTGGGGTTGGCAAGCACTTGCTGGGAGAATCCTAAGGCAGAAATGTTTTTGCTAAGAGAGGGACAGGCACAAAGACAGCAGAAACAGGCAGTAAGCAGTTAAGCACACAAATACATTTCAGTTTTCAATGGACTCCAGCTTATTCTGAGCTCAAACACTGCAACACGTCTTCACGTACCTCTTCTGCTCAGGAAAACAAAGCAGTCTCGTGGGGGAACCTGTGTTTGGCAGGCATGAACCAGCAATTGCTAAGGGAGCACCAACCCTTCTCCAACCCAGGTCCTAGACACTTACTTGGGACTTGCTGTCCAGGCTGCTGCCACGTCTGGTAGGTACTGCCCCAACCCTGCGTCATGAACGCCTGAGGACCACTGTGGGGGACAAAAAGGGTTGCTGAAGTAGGCAATAAAACACTTCACAGGCCACATACATGAAGTTGCCCACAGAAATTGAAGTTATTTACAGTCAGCAGCTGCTGAGCAAACAGGTGAACATGGGAATCCAAGGGAGCTGTGTAGGTGTGACTGCCTCGACACTGGTCTGCACATGAAGCCAAGATGAAGATACATCACACTGAACAGCACTCCTTGTGTTGCAAGCAGTTCAGGTTTCTTTCCATGCTCTCACTGTCCCACTAGAGTCAGGAATTTGGGAGATGCTGATACCCACCTTCTTTGTAACTTAATCGATAAAATCCTTCCTGTATTCAAGCTTAATCTCACTTGCTTCCTGCTTCTGAATACTCCATCTTTAAAAGGCTCCACTTACACACCACCCCTTCAGGGCCCTCCACCCTTCTCCAATGCTTTGATAGCTCCCAGCCATTCCCCACAGCCCATCCATGAGGAGAGGAAGCAGCTTACTTTTGATGAGGTGTAGCGGGTGCTTGGCTGAACGGACTTTGACCAAATCCTCCAGGTCCACCCATGCTGGTACCCTGTCACAGAATCCACAAATACTTAATGGCAGCTCTAAGCACAAGCTGGAGGCAGCAAGTATGAGCAGTAAGAAAGGGGAGAAGACAGCCTGGGACACGTGGATCCTGAGGTTGGTATCAAGCCTTCTCCTCTCAGGTAGTTCAGCACAAAGGTTGCTTTTCAGCTTTACCATGCCCCAGTTCAGTGTTTTCCATACTTTCTTTTACCCAAGTGTCCCCCTTCAGCAGTATTCCAGCCTGACATTATTAAGCTTCAATACCACAGCACTGCATTAAGTGGAAGTTAAAGTCATCCTGGATTTACTGGAGCAAGGAGTTGAGCGTTACTTTCAGGATGATGATGCCAGGATTGTGTCATTCTCACGCAGTGACACTACTGTCTTCCCTTCAAAAAATCTCCTTTGACAGCCTTCTCACACCTGATTATTGCTGTTCTTCCCTCTCACACAGCTGCACAATACCCATGATCATGTCAGCAAACAGTTAGATCCTTCTGGGACCACAGCACAAATTAGTCCAATGGATCCTGGAGGGCCAAAGTTCAAGACAGCTGCTAACAGGCAAATGGTTTTGAAGCTGAATAATGCAAGCGTGTGTGTTCTGTGCCATCCTCCAAGTCCAGGCCCACGTGTACACCTAAGAGTGAAAACACCAAGTCTCAAAGAGACAAGACTAAGATCAGAGACGGAACTTACACCAACTTTCTCATCTATGAGATGTCTAGCGAGCTCAATTTGCTGGGGAACTCCTCTGATTGTGAATATTCGTACACCAGGATCTGTGTTTGGAGGTGGGTTTCTCTGCAGCTCCACGTGGGCTCCCGACTGCTGATTTATGCTCTTGATGTTCTCACCACCTGAAGAAAAGAAAACCAAGACGTAAGGAGGGATATCCAGCATCTCTTCCAATAAAAGTGTATCAAAGCCAGGTTCTGGTAATGGAATATTTCAGCTACCTTCTGAGTGCCTTAAGGGAAGTGGGCTGAGGATGGCAACAGCGTAAGAAACAACAGTACCTGAGCTCGTGTTGCTCCTTTTAATCTGCTTCATAAGCATAACCTAAAACTGTGAGCTACTGCAATGGCTCCTGGAGTCATGGCTGGTGCTGTTGTAAGAACACACAGCTCTGCTGTGTGCACGCTGCCAGGCTCCCAGCAAGCTGCTGCGGGGCTGAGATACACTTGGACAAAGCAGATGCCAAAACTGACTGAATTCTGGGGTTTTGCACAGCTTTCACAATCCTCAAGGGAAAAAAAGTCACCTGCAACCAATGCTGCTGCTTGCTTCTGTGAGACTTTTATTCACCCCCCCATCACTACACATTTCATTCCACTAAGGCAAAAAATGACCAGCTATGTAACTTGTAGCTTAGAAACAAAGCTTAAGCTTTCCCACAATCATGTGCTGCTCAGGTTGTTGCCTTTAGGAAGTCTCTGCTTACCACGCTCCCTATTCGCACTGCAGCACATGCATCCCTTCACACAAGCACAGCAGTGCAGGGCTCCAGGCTGTCCTCTGCTATTGCAGCATTAGTTGTGTGCAGTGAACGTATCTGGGTGCAGGAGCGCCTTGAGCAGGATGCAGCAGGGCCAGCCCAAGTAGGTCTGCTTTCCTCAAGCCCTGCTATGTCTCAGTCTCTTAATGAAATTTGCTTAACAAAAGCCTTCGCCAACATTACAATGGTTCAATTCTTCTTTTGGAAGCTCACACAACTTAGGGACCAGCTCCACTCAACTGGAGAAATCAAAGGGTGCAGGGATGGAAGGGGTTCTATGACTTTTAAATCGCAGATCCACAATCGCCAGCCAAAAGGATGCAGCAAGCAGGGAAGAGCAAAGGAAACGAACCCCAGCTTTTTGCTTGGTTTTAATTAAAGAGTCTCCACAAGCAATCGCCTCAATTTTGCTGCATTTCCATCTCTATACATCCAGCACAACTTCAAAACAAACTGTGGATGTTGCAGACACTTGTTCATTTCATTGTAATGGACTCGTGACCTTTTTAACATTTTAAAGCCTTCTTGGGGAAGGGAGGAGGAAAAGTTGCCAAAGGGCAATTAACTCTTTCTAAATGAATTTTTGAAGATGCATTTAACAAAAGGTAATCGTGTCACATCCCTGGGCACACAACAGTGATTGTACTGCGCAGCGAAAAGCCAACCCACTTGTTTTCAAGTCAAGCATGGGAAAGGGTGAGATGAAGTTTCTAAACTAAGAAGGTTTTTTTAATGCGATGCTTTTGTCTGATGCAGACTTGTCTGAAGCTCTGGTTTTCACATACTGAGGTGAGATCTGAATCTGCAGCCGCTTCATCAGCTTAATGAAAACAGAGAACCCCTTCCCAATTTGGATCATGAAGGAGGGGGAAAATTTCTTTACTGGACAACAGTCATAACCAATGGCTGGTACTCACACAGCAGACCAGGTTTCTCCTTCCAAAGGGGATTAAAAATTAAAGCATTCTCAAACTGGAAGCAAGGAGAATATAGATTTCAAGTAATTTTCCCATTTAACATTCAGCACCAAGTCCGTAGCTGTTGGGATCACTGCCACATCAGGTCCCTCCTGGACCATATTGCAGGATCAAGTCAGTCGGCTCTCCAGGTTTGCTCAGAGGCTGCAAGCTGTTATCGCCATACTGGGACTTGGTGCTCTTCTCCTCCTAACCCTCCAGCCTGGAGCACACCAAAGTGCTCCCTCCCATCCAAGCTATTCCAATTCAGCCTCCAGAGCATGCAAATGAAGTGACGAAGTCAACACGATGCTGCACGGTGCCGGAAGGAGTTCATCTTCCCCCACGGCGAGGTGACCCGCTCGGCACATGGTGGCTGTCTACAGACGCATTCAGCAGCCCGCTCCATTCTTCTACCTGATGGGGGGCAGAAGTGATCCAAGAGTGGCCCCCCAGCTGGACGTGAAATCGTAAAGCAATTAATCAAAGCTGCTAAAAGGCAGAGCTGACAAGAGCCAGGCCGGCCGCGGTACCTGTCAATATTGCTGTATTTATCATGGAAATCCAGTGGGGGCCCAGAGAGGCTGCGGTTTGTTTCCAAGCGCCACCAAACAGAGAGAGCCCCTGACATGTGCACGGCGCTCCTCTCCACCCTTCCTCGAGTCTTTCAGGGAAGAAAAGCTGCACCTACCCACCCTCTAGAGGAAAAAGCTACGCACAGGATCTGCAGGGAGCCGAACGCTTCTTGTCGGCTCCTAAAGGCTCACGCTCCTAAGCTGCGAAGTGATGCCCACCAGAAAAGGGTCCTAAACTTTCTGTCATATACTCCACAGAAACTGAGCTGAGAACTGCCTCATTCCCTCTCTTCTTGAGTGGTGACATGGAGCTGGAAGCACAGTGGCAGTTACCCGGGCACATCACATACACTATGCCCAAGATACCCGTTGCTTGGTGCTAACCTCAGAGACCAAGCCACCTTGTGCCCAGAGGACACGGCCAGATTTTACAGAGGAGGCTGACAGCCACCACCTGTATCACAGGGGATAAAACCAAAACAAGCTGGAAAGTGCTCAGAAACTGCAAGTGGGGAGCAAAGCTTTTACAATTGGTCACTGTTAAGAAAACCCCACTAAAATCCCCCCTCCCCTTCACTGCCCCACAGGCAGTGGGAGATGAAATAAGAACAATCAGGTGTCTTGAATCGACAGAGAGTGTAGTACACCCATCCTGGTCCAGGCCCCGAAAGGCAGTGCTACAGCCATCACTCACTTGACAAAAATGAAGGCTGCAACAGACTAAGAGCAGAGGCACTGTAAGAACACCGATTACAAGGTGGCATTACAAAGCTACAAGCACTCAAATCACCATACAACCAGCAATTAGTCACTCCAGAAAGCTTCTGATCTGGCTGGGCAAGAATCCCTATTTTGCTGTTGTGGAAACAAAGGTAAAAAGCTACACTTCACCCCCACAGCGAGCCTGTGCCAGGCCTTGCACTTGAACGCTGGGACATCCAACTCCACTACCTGCATTCATCTTTACTGCACACAGGGCTCTCAGTAGTCACAAACGCTCCACTTCAGCGCACTGCAGAACAACAAGTGACCTTTTCTGATCTTTTATTAAGGGTGACTAATGGATACGGCAATAAAGTTTCATTATAATTTGAGTTTTCCATACATATAACTCTCACTTGTGGGTTTAAAATTTGCTTAGCTTAATCTTTTGCCCAACTGGACTGTTCAGTGAGATCAAGCACAATGGCTCTGCAATTTCTGTGTAACAAGTAGAGCAGGTGTATTTACATACTGGGAAGAGCTGTCAGGTTTGTGAACAGGTTTACAGCAAAGAACATCATCTGGAAATGACTGCAGATGCACTGCTGACATGTCTGCATCCCTTGTCACCCAATAAGGCAGGAGTTCAGGGTGCTACAGGGGCCGGACGCATGGAAGGGAACAGCAGGGTTGTGCAGCAGGGGAAAGAGGCCACAGCACGTTTCATTGCAAGCTCACTCCTGCTCAACAGGACAGCAGGAAACTAAATGCCACTGAAACATGGCACAATGCCCTCAAGTCTCTGCCTCCTTTACCGCTGTAGCTAATCGGTTCCTATTCTATTCACTTCAGCTCTGCTGAGGCTAAAAGCCAACTGTGATTACTTAAATACTAGTTAAGGCATATGTCACTCTTTCTGAAATAAGCAGAGAGAAAAAATTAAATACAACTCCTTTGACAAGTCAGTGAAGCACCACAACAATTCAGAGCGATAGAGCTCTTCTATTCCTAGCTCTAATCTAAGTACTGCCATTACCCCAGGTGTAGCTCATGCTCTATGACAAACTGAGACTGCTACTGATCCTCTGGTTTCCAAACTGTCCTGGGATTGTACTTGCTCAGGTGCAAGCTTGGATACACCTAGATCCTGCTATTTCACTTTATTCATCACACACTTCAGGTACGTGGCTGGAAGCTGCTCCTGTTATTACCACATTCAAAGACCTTCCGTTTTATCAGACGTCACTCACAGCCATCCAGAATGACGAAATGACTGTTCTGTTTGTCCCTGATAAACTGTTCTTTAAATGAATTCTCTATAAAAAGCATGCACAAATGAACCTGCCTTTTCTCAGCCAGCTGCTTGTTATAACAAGCTTACTTGACAGCTCTGCATGAAGAGCCCCACTTACAGATTGTGAACAAGGGCCCAGAGAGTACAATTATGAGTGAGAGCACCACAAAGAAAACAACCACAAGCACTTACAGCTTATTCCTATGCTGCATTCACTGGCCACTAAATACCTGCAATTACAGAAAACTCCAAAGCCTCACTGGCAGGCAGCAAGAATGCGTCCATCCCAAGAGCAGAAGCCTGCAAGATGTATTTAGTGTCACCAGACCTACCTTTGCCTATAACGAGACCACACTTGTCAGCTGGCACGGTGTAGGTTATCTCCTGCATGCCTCCAGGTGTCCCAACACTCCAGTCACCACGGCCACGACCTCTTCCTCGGGCAACAGCCAAGCTTCCAAAGCCATCTCTTTCCTTGGGAGGCAAAACAACTGTGTCAGTGGGTATTTTCTGCTGGTGCAATGTACATTAAAGCCCAAATAAAGCAAGGTAAGTTAAACTGCTTTATAATCAATAGCACTGAATTAAGATATTCTTGGTCTCCAGTTTCACATTCAAGATTTTGAAGCACTTTAAAGAAATGCCAAGTAACGTAGGGTGCAGCTGCCTTCCTGACTCAGGAAGATATTTGTATTTTCTAAATGCATGCCTTTATATTTGCTGAAATAAACCTATAAATAAGCATCATCTACTAAAACACTTTTAGTTTATGACGGGGGCTTTCCTTAGAGCAACCAATAGATCTTGGCACTGACACAGAAGTTGCTTCCAAACCCTTTCAAGCGTCATTCTTTAAAGAACTGCTGGAATTACTCAGCTGAAATGCACATCTTCCAAAACTTCCAAAGGAAGCTTTTAAGTTCAAAGACACTTAAAGGACATTCCTATTCTGGGTAACTGCATTCTCCAAAAGCAAAGGCCATGGGCAGCTAGAGGCTGTCAGAGAGACCTCAAAACTGAAATGACCTAACATCTTCACTTCTCTCCTTCATGAGTCTGCCCTACTACTTCACCCATCTTTGTACTTCTTGCTCTTGGGCAATGCAATACTTTGGTGTCTCAGAGACAGTGAGCATTCCTTGCCTTCCCCTGCCTCCCACAGCCACTAGACAAGAGGACTGGTGTCTGAGGTGGAAGCATCAGAGTACGGTTAATGCCTTGCTGTCTAGGCATTACCCAGCCCCACTGAGCAGAGACTCCAGTTGCTCTCTCTTGCTACTGCTGGACTCCATTCTACCAGGTCATCATCTCTAAATAATTTAAGAACAGCTAAACACAGGGGGTAAACATGGAGCTCCAATGAGGCCTCATAACAGTGCCCAAGAATTGAAGACCTTCCATAGCTCAGTTAACCCGTATTACATTAACAAAACCCAAGTCTAGCAGCTCTGTCCTGGGCAGCCTATGTGGCCTACCAGAGGGAAAATCTCACAGTGTTGTTCTTCAGATGGTGGCATGCATCCATCCACACAGCTGCACACATGCAGAGTACGTTCCCAAAGAAGCACTTTGCTCCTGGGAGCCTCCACAACCCACCTGTGCCGTGAGAATGAGCTCACTGATGATGTGTGCTGCGTGTTGACACCTATCAGGAAGCCCCATGACCTGTGCGACTCTTTCAGAACTAATCCCATCATCTGTGAAGAGAGGTGGCAAAGACTGAATTAAAAGCAGAAAACATTCACCCCTCAATAAAAGCTTCCTTCTAGCACCATCGCTGCTAGCAGCATTTTCACACAACGTAACTACCTCTTCCCTCCACCTTCAGCCCCCTCTTCCACGGACTGAAAGAAGACAAAATCCAACCCACATCACACATGGAACAATATTCAAAAGGCAGCACTTCCAAATGTCAAAAAGCCATGAAAGAGACTGATATAATTTTAAGAGGACAAAGGCAGCTTTGATAGGTGATCAGACAGCCAAGGACCCAGAGAAAGTTACTTAGAATTAATCAACTCCTGATCCCCAAAGGCTTTAATGTCCTGAAGGAGAGCTCTTTAACAGGAAATAAAAGGTTTATTATTGTTATTTTGTTTATCCAGACATGACTGCTGTGACATCTAATGCTTCCAAATCAGCTGTATATAATCTTAACACTCTGAAAACCAGAAAGTGCACGAGGAAGCAGCACATCGTATTTAAATGGGTTTCGGAAAGAGACACAATGGACCTTTAAATTAGGAAAGCCTAGCTGCTGTAACCTCAGATCAGATTCACTTTAGCAATCCCAAACTGGAACACTGGTCAGAAAGTAAGGGCTCTCCATCCTCACACAAACCTGGTTTAAATTGAATCCTAACTCCAGCATCATTCTGAATCTTTTTGATCATTTCGCCATTTCTTCCTATCACAATTCCAACAGCAAACCTGGGCACAGAGACCTGATGGGAAAGGCAAAGCAGTATGAAAGCTCAGAGAACTAAACTGAATGACTCTGATTTTACAAGGAGATGCTCTTAACTACGAGGACAGGCCATGTTAGGCAGCTCCAGGCTACAGAACCGTACCACTTAAGAAAAACAAACATGTGGCCACAAATTCCTTCCCCACTAAATGAACTCTGCACTACAAGAATGCAGCTTAAAAAGTCAATTAGAAAAGTGCCATCTGGGAGTCCAGGAGAACTCCTCCTCTTTGCAGCCAGACTCTCACTTCTGGCACAAGAACACAATGCATTTAGAAAGCAAGCTTACAGGTTACATGTGCAATTTGATGACTTCCACCCACTACCCGTCCCACAGGGAGGTTAGCAGAGTAGTCGTGAAGAACACATACCTCTATGCTGCCTCCTCCCATTCTAGAACTGAAATCATTGCGTACGCCTCGGAAGTCTGCCTGATCTTTCTCTCGGATGATCTCCAGTACCATTTCCCTCGCTTGCTACATGGGGAAAGAAGTTACAGTTAGCTTCAAATGATTCTGCTTGCCATCCTGGTGTTAGGGCCTCAACAGTGGCTAACGGTCAGGCTTCAGGCAAGGTGATCTCCATCTGCGTGAGGGAAATAGCATTCTGATTTAGAATCTTTAACCACAGTCAATGGAGATCTTGATGGCATCTTCCATGTCTAACAAAACCTGCCCAGTGTGCAAGGTGGCAGTCTCTTGTGTGCAATTGCTTCCTTCAGAATTTCAAAAAAGGCCCTTTAGCTTTTAAAACATCTGGTTTGTTTTTAAATTAAAGGAAGCAAAGGCCCTTTCTTACTGCACAGAACTGAACCCAATATAGTAGAAACTGTGACAACACAGCAGAGATCATATCTACTAAGAGCTAGAGCGCACATACCGAGGAGGCAGGTGGGCAGAAGTGATCTTACTGACATGGAAAAGTTAAGTCCAAATCTGCAGCAATCCAGCATGTGTCCCTGCCCGTGGCAGGGAGCTGGAAATAGATGATCTTTCACGTCCCTTCCAACCCAAACCATTCTGTGAGCCTGTAATTCTAAGACATTTCCTGAGACAAATGAATATTCCTCCTACCTACTTGCAGCCCTCACGGCTATTCACAAGCTTGCACATAACCCTGCCAGTAAAAGTGTACCTTGGAAATAAGCCAACAGTAGTCACCATTTGAAAAAACAAGTAAAAGCCTACATGTCAAAACCAAAGCCTTTGTGTCTATATAACACCAGTCAAGCTTTTGACATTTTGGTTCTATTTCCATGGTTGAGGGACATCGGTGAATCTGATTCCTTCCACATTTTCCATGCCCCCACGGTATTTTTTACAGAAGCAAAGAACTCAAGACACTTCAGAGAAGCCAAGGCAGGAATAAGGGCAATGCAGCATCCAGAGAATCCCACCAAACCCACGGATTCATCAAGCTTCTTCAGTGCTTTCCAAGCACGCTCAGCTTTTCTAAGCGCCTCAAAGCACCTTTTCCAGCCTATGCAGTCTCCACGCTTGCTTGGCATGATTTATGGCATGGAAGATGTGACAAGAGCAAATCTTTGCAAGGCAGAAGAAGCCACACTTGAAGTATGATTTGGTTAGAAGCAGCAAGACTGCCATTAACCACCTTCTTGCATCTCTGTACCTCCACAGTAAGTAGTTTGAAATCATTTAAATCTAAAATCTAACTCTAAAAGCCCACTTGCAATAAGAGGTTTGTAAAATGCAACCCAAACACACCACCCTACACACCATCAACTTCTGCAGCTATTTATGACTAGGGAGATGCTGTGAAACAGACTAAATTAATACTTACTAGCTCAATCTAATGCTTAGCAAGGTATGTAAAGCACTTGCTGAGAAGTGGAACGTGCCACAGCTAAACTTTGATTCTGTAATTCAATCACTCCCATCATGCTGCAATCTTCCAGTCTCCGGCTGCTCAGGGGTTTTTGCTTTGAACCGCAGGTATGAATGTATCTGTAGAACCCTGACACAAGGAGACTGAGGTACCACTATTAAGCAAACCCCTTGGTTTCAGGAGTTGTTGTGGGATTACTTTTTTAATTACCTGCGTCAGTTGGCTGTCTGAGATAGCAAACCCTCCACAGAACTTCCTCAAATGCGGGATTAAGTCACTAAGAACCCATCTGCTCAAGTATCAGAGCTATGGTTTTACACAGACTGGAAAGCATTGCAAAGCTACTTTCTCCAAACTCTCCTCCTCAGCTCTTCTCCTCCCCATGTGTAACATCTGTGTGGAGCGAGAACTAGGTTGTGCTGTAAACAAGCCAGCACTTGCTAGTCTGGTAGTTTAACTTGCTTGACTCAAACTTCACCTTACGAACCAAACAAAACCAACAAGGACCATTACATTTACAGCTGGATTCAACTCCTTTAGATGCTCACAAATAGGCTAAAGTTTCAATTTCTCCTCAGTTCTCTGGGGCAACTGCTTACTTTCATTACATACCTGTACTTTAAATGCATCTCCAGTAATACGGAGAGGTTTATCTGCTCCAGTAGGCAATGGACCGTCTTGGATCATGATCATTTTCACACCTGTTCGCTCCTGAAGAAAAAGCACAGAGCACTTTGCTAAGCAGAGTCCCTAAAGCAAGGGACTACATTTCGGTTACTAAACATTATGTAGGTGAAATCAGAACGCTACTTTGGCTCTTCACAGGTAGTTATAGCACAAATTCAGTAATAGTCCCAGAGTGTAAAGGACTGCCAGAAAGTGTGCTGCTCCTGAAGCTCTCTAACAGCTGAATCCTTTGCAAAGAGAATCCCTTCTACCTCAACAACTGATTTTTCAGCCCTTTCCAAAATCTGTGGCTGCATATAATCGTTATTAAGTGACCAGCCTTACAACTACTGGATGACAACGGCCTAATCAGGGCACTCAAAAAACCTACATTTTTGACCTAGGTGCTCTTCCAAAGCCCTGTCCTTTATGAAACTTGCACCAAATGGAGCAATAAAGAATGTCTAAATACACAGATTTATACGTAACACAATACTTTGAATTAGAAAGGGGTGGGATGAGAAAAAAAGAAGACACACGCCAGCGTTATCACAGATCAGCAACGAAAGAGAAGCACAGCACTCTACAACAGCATGGCTGGCATGAAAAACTATTGCAGCAGCAGACTAGACATAGCCTTGTCTTGGCTACAAGGATCCCCTCCTAAACAGCACGCACCAAATGTTATCTAAAGCACATGAGTTTCTTTCACAGTTCTGGCAGAACTCCACTACATGCGTAGCTGGGGCCAAACTGATTTGGTTTGTAATACAAGATTGGATTTGAGTCCAGCTCTCCGAAGGCAGAAGAGTAGTCCCTGCTGTAGAAGGTTAGAGCATTTAAGGCTCTCCACTTCAGCACGCTCTTGCTCATCTAGAGAAGCTGCAGTAGGGAAGAGAGCCCTAAAGGAAATGCATCTTGCGCACCTGCAACTGTTTTATTGTTTCACCTCCTTTGCCGATGACTAGACCCACTTTGGATGCCGGGATCAAAATCTCCTGAATCGTACTGTTGCCATCAACATCGTTGTGAAAACCAGGTCCGTTCCGACAGCGATCTACAATCTGCCCCAGTAGCCGTTTTGCTTGTCTTTGGAAAAGAATCGAGGGAAACAACCATTAGACAACATTGCTCCATGGGACCAAGAGACCAGGAACCAGCGGAATGGGAAGCGATTGGGGAGAGGAGAAGAAGTGAAAAGATGGAGGAAACCATAGTTAGCACAATGTTTGCTTTTAACTCTTTAATGTGTATTTTCCCCTATCATGATTACTTATAAGCAGTTCGGGTTTTGAAAGGGGAAGAAAGAAGGAAGAGCAGCAGCATGCTCTGACCTCTTTGGAAGTTAAGGATAATTCTTGAGCTATACCATTTGGGATGCTTATTTTGAACAAAGATGCTCTAGCTTCTAAACTTCTCTAAACTTTTTAACATATATATATATATATATATATATATGTAATATTTGGTAAAACTCAAGCTCTGTTCTGCTTGGTCAAGACAAAAAACACACACTGCCCTGATACTAACACAGCACACTGGTTAATCTCCCTCGGATTACAGGCAACTGCCTTGCTCTTCTCTGCCTGCTCTTACCAGCAGCACCAGAACACTGCTCTAACACAGCCTCTGCCCCAAGCAGTAGGTGCTGAAGCTACATCGCAAAGCAAGGCAAGGATACTGCAGCAGCGACCACTGAAGGCCTGGGTTCTTCTACTCCTGCTGAGACACACAAAGAAGCATTTGGGAGATTAGAGATCTCTTTTCCAACACCTTTAGGCCATGTTCCTTTCATCCTGAAGACTCCTAGTACCAACACGTCCCTGTCCTGTCCTTCTTCCACAACCCTTCTCAAAGGGTAGAAGAAAGCCACTGATTCCCTATTCAGCCTAAAGCAGCATCTTCCCCTTTCTCCAATTCACCCCAAGCCGTATCAGGCACTCTAAGATGACTGCCTTCACTCTGGTGAGTTGAAGGAACACTACAAAGTCACCTCTTGCAAGCAGACATCACCCAAAACAGCTCAGAGGGTGGTGGTCTGAGGCTGCACAGATCAGAGCACTGCCTTCTCAAAAGGTGGGAGTTCCAGAAGCCCACTTCAAATATTCTGCAAGACTCTTTAAGAGGTTTTCTTCATCTACCTTTATATCTTGCACAAAGTTCTTCTAGTGACAATATAAAGACTACAACAGTTAATGCACAATTATTTCAGATAAGAAGAGGTCATTTGGAAATTAAACCTATTAATTTGCTACTGGATATGACTAATGGAAACACTCCTCTCTGAATCCTCACAAAGAACTCTAACACCCAGACTGGCTTCCATACTATATTCCCTTTTCCTACACGTAGCCCGAAAACACAGTTGAACCAACCAACCTGACATGAGTTTTAGCACAAAAGTAAACTAAATTTTGCCTAATTCCATGCCCTCAACACTTTTTCTGCTTCACAAATTGAGTACTCACTTTTTGAAAGCTTATCTATATTTTATTTAAAGACAAGCCTTGGACATGACTACATTTAACTGCTTATTTCAGAACCAGGAAGTTTTAACTATGCTTCTCCCCCATTTTCCCCCAATTGCATCTCATAAAGCATCCCAGCTTTTTAATATTTTGCTCTTGTTCTGAAAAAGCCTTTGCTATAGGGGGAAAAGCACTTCAATATCACCAAGAATACACTGCGTGCCCTATAATATGAGCTTGCCAATTATATTTATTCTGGCTCACTGCTTGCAGTATTATGGCAGAATAAGGAGATTTAAGTAGCCTTAAATCTCTTAGGAATGGAAGAATGATGAATGTCTTCTCTTTAGAGAGACAGTCTTTGCGCCCATGTATTTTCACTATCAAATGCAACTCAAAGATTTCCAGATGGATTTTAAAAAACCCACCTACCCAAAGGCTGGGGAGAGAAAGAGCAGCTCCATATGTTAAGTGTGTTCCTGTAAGCCTGAGGATCCTGGATCCAGTTCCAGCAGGAGGTCCTCAACTGGTTTGTGAGAGTCTCAAACTCAGCTCCTGGGAAGGGGGAGGGAGGAAACACTGTCCCTAAAGTTTCTATAGGACTAAAGAGTAGAAACCCCTGATGGCTGGCTACGTGTCTCTACCATGCAGGGATCAGAATTCAAGACTTTGGTTCAGCCCTTTGCTTCTTGTTGGCAGCGATGCAGAGGCAAGCACACACCCATGGGCCTCATGCTGCTCTGCAACACCAACATCTCCAGAGTATTCTGGAGTGGCACCAACAGGCTTTGGAGGCCTCATGCAGCCCTTCTTCAGCTGGAAGGATGGTCATCTCAATAGGAGTAGGGAAGCGAAGGGGAAAAGAGAAATGCCCTTCAGCAGCTTAGCTCAGTATCCTGGAAAGCTGCAGTTGGAAAACTGCATCCTAGGTGCCCTAAGAGCAACCTTGCCCTGCGAAAGGGAATTCCATGGGAATTTCTGCAGCGGGTTCAAACTGCAACTGGAAAAAAGCCTTTGAGGTGCACAGTTTAAAGCATCAGACCACGAGGTTCTATGCTCCAGAGACCCTCAAGTTTCTCTAGGCCAGCATTTGCTGGTGTGGCTAACTAAGTAGCACCACTGACAGAGCATAGCATTAGGGAGAAGAGAAAGAAGGAAAAAGGAGAGAAATGAAATCAGAACTCACTCAATGCTCTCTGGTGTCCCGGTGAGTACACAGGGCCTCTCAGGCATCCCACCACTGTCTACAAAGGAAAAAAGAAGGAAACTTTCAATACATGGAATTAAGAAAACAGCAGCAGTTTCAGTAACTACCAAGCACTAATGGAAGCACTGCCCCCTCTCCACACACAGAGCATGCTAATGAATTCTAAGACATGCAAAGGTCAACATATTTTAAATGATTTGCTGGATGTCTGCATTCTTTGAAAGCCTTCCCTACCAATTAAAGGGAGGGGTAAGAACTTAGACCACATTCATCAACATTTCCCAGTGCAGCACTGCAGAAGTCTTTCCCAAAGCAAACAGGCACTAGCACAGAAAGAAATGGAAGGTCCCAGTTTTTCGATGCAAGGCCAGCTGCACTATGAGCTGCTGCCACCCTCCTGAGATGTCTTCTGCCAAGGGCTGGAACTGACCAGACTATCAGAGACAAACTGCAGAGCTGAGCCAAGTGGTCAGCTAGGAGAAAACTCAGCAGTTGCCAATTCCAGGTCTAAGTACAACATGGATTGTCTGTTTGCGCTGTACCCATCTGTTGGCTAAAGACAGCTCCTTAATTGTTTCATTCCCTAAGCCACCTGACAAACCTGTTTTCTATGTTAGTTGGGAGGTCAGTCCCAGGACAGCCCCCCCCTGCATGTTAGCCTAGTATTTATTAGTCGAGAAACATGCCATGAGCATGGCAAGACGCTTGTTCTAATGGACACAACATCCTTCAACATGAAAACCTGTTCACCCACCATACAAAGTGGCTCTTACCTGGAGCAATCTGAATTTTGCAGCCAGACTCTGCCTGAATCCGTGAGATCTGTTCTCCTCCCCTGCCGATTACTGAAACGAGTTCAACAAGCATCAGAACATACCATTTCCCCAAGTAACTGCAGAGCACCTTCCCCCTTTAACTCTGCTGCAGCTAGCTATAAAGGAACAGTTTGACTCCAGGACTGCAGAAGAGGCATCCACAGCATGACCAGATTTATCACAGCAGAAAAACATTAAAATACTGCTGAAAGTTATTCTATTTGCTTGGAAAAAGAAAACGAAGCAAAAAAGCCTGTCTTGCACTGGAATGGAAATACACAGTATGCAAGACATAAGGCAGTAGTTTGAGTGCTGCTAGAAGAGTCATTTAAGTATATCTTGTTCAGCTTGAAAAATAAACCAGTTATTTGGGGTACTAAGAAAAGGCAAAGACTTTTATTTCTTTAAAATTCACCTTTTTCTTCCTCTTTTCAATGCTATCTGGCTGGTCTGCACTCAAACAGAACTGCTATGTACTCAAATGCTCTATCAACTTTAAGTGAAAACAAATACCCGTCTCCCTTAACTCTTGGAGTTGGCACATCATTGCTTCACAGCAAGATACTGAGAAGAGACTATGTGCCAATCACCACTTACATCCTTCCCAGACTGCAAAAAGAGCAAAACTGTCATGTCAAACAGCTATGCCTGGCTCAAGATGCTCCCACAGAAGCTGTGGGTTTGCCACCCTCCTGCATCTGTCTGGCCCTAAACCAAGATTAGACTTAACACAAAGATGATGCACCAACAGCGAAAGCTCCCTTCTCTCAGAGCTACAGCATCCTTCCAATGTTCACCCACATGTGGCACAAGGACCAATAAATCAAGAGGTCTGACAGGCAAAGAGTGAGTGTTTCCTTTGCAGGAATTTGAGTTACAGTTTTATAGTGCCTTTAGAATGGGGACAAACTTCACGCACTAAGGGGTGATTATCATGGCCTGTTATTTTCCTTTTTACTCTCCATATATCAAATTTGAAGATACACACAGATGTAGCAGTGGAAGAATCTATGCAATCGCTGTAGTAACGCATCAGCAGGAGGTGCCATTGAAAGGAAGAGTAATGATCATAAAGAGGAAGAGAGAAATTAGGATCAAGCTTGAGAGAGAACAGCATCAGGAATGCAGATCTAGGAAAAATTCTCATCTGAGCACTGCATGCTGCTTGTGTTTCCCTGCAGCAAATGTAGGAGATTTTCTTAATGAATCAAAATTCTGTTTAATTTCCCTTGATTCAACTCAATTTAACATTTAAATGCTGTTCTCCTCCCTCAACTCTCAGTTTTGCATACTCAACAGAAGTGAAATGTTTCAGTGAGGGGAGATAAATTCACTTTTGACTTGTTTATGTACTACACTAGTGGGAATTTAAAGAAGAGAATCACTAAAACCCTCAGTAACTTGTACCACGGTCTTGTTCTTATTACTGAGACATGAAGCTTTTCCATGCTGTATGCACCTGGATTTTAAACACAGGTCATCTGGTCCCCACGAAGACAGCATCAGACAAGGCCTATCCAAGGCTAATAAACACAAAATCTTGTGACCATGTCAGAATAAACAGCATTCCCGCACAGAAAGCACATCAAGAAACATCAAAAACAACCAAGGTACTTACTAAATCCAACCATTTTATCAGGCACTTTGAACTCTTCTGTTATTACAGCCCTAAAAAAGGAAGGAAAAAATATCAAATAGTCATTACAAAGAACAATTTGGAAGACAACTATGTCCCTGCCACGGAAACCACTGCACAGGCACAGCATTAAAGCTCCTGCACACAAATAAACACCATGTCAAGTCAACATCATTTGTTTTGGAAGGGAAATCTCGTGGTCACCTAATTTCTCCTGTGCTGGACACATCTCCAGTCTACTCTCCACCATCTTCAACAGAGCCAATGGAAGAACCTCTTTATTCTTGCTCCAGACAGGTTTAACACAATAACAGCAAACCGTCTTTAATATTTACCCTAGACCTTCCAAGCTGTAGTCTCTGCCTCTACTCCTGGATATGCTCTTGACAACGGACACTAACCAAAGCCAATCCTGATACGAACGTACCCTCCAGTATTCAGAGATAAGGACCTGTTTGGCCTTATAATTCTTGTTCTTGGAATTTATAACAGCTGTCTTCAATTATGCTTGGAAGCATCACTATCTCAAGACTTCCATATCTATTGTTCTTTGGACATTTTCAGTGTGTCTCTCCAATTTCGTAAGACCTGACCATAGGCAGGTTGGAAGGAATTAAATTTGGGGTTTTTTTGCTTAGCATTTCTATCTTGTAGAAAACACAACACAATGAGTATGGAATTTGCACATATTTAGATATGAACCATATACAATTTGTTCAGCAATCTCCAAAGCAATGAAACACCTGCATAAGCTCAATGCAGGTTTTGTGGTGAGGTGTATTAAAATCTTCCCTTTTGTTTTGCTCCGTATCAGTTAGGGAAGGTATAAAATACACATTAGGCCTCACCAACTGAGTTGCAGATAAAGCACCCTCCACTGTCTTGAGGCTCACTAGCAGTGATGCTAAGCCAACCAGTGCCATCCATACCTGCAAGAGAACACACTCACCTCACTTCACTCACTGCAGAACTCACCTGCTACAGGGAGCTTCAGAATTACTGCTGGTTTACACGCCTGTTTCCTAAATGTCCTATCCTGCACCATTTGTTAGCCACCCTGTGTTGGAGGAGCAGTTGCAGCAGGCAAAGCACCTAACCTACTAGAAACCCAACCACCAAAACCACAAAGGAACCAATTCAGGTGTTTCAGCCTCATCAACTCCCTGCACAAACGTTGCTCCTGGCGGAAGAGAGGTGGCAGGTAGCAGCACACAAGATGACACTGCTCACCCCTTTCTGTGCTGCCCACGCTGTACATCAGCATTAACCTAACCACTACAAATGGAAGGTTCTACAGTCTTCACATACACTGCTTGTCCTTTCTGCTGAGGCCCCCAGTAAGCAGCTGGGGATGATGGAAATGCACTACTATTAGCCCAAAGGCAAATCCAACTTTAGAAGTGCTCTCCTCTTCCTACTCAAAACAAGACAGACAACTCCTTAAGACCAGGATTCAAGAAGAACTAAGAATTTTACTTTTACCTTTGATGCTAAGACATGATAACTCACACTCGCTTCAGTCTCCCCAGACCGTCTCTGACAAAGGAGTCATCCCAGGTCATATTACACCAACAAAACGAAATCCGAATACTATCACCAACAGTAACATCTACCTGCCCGTTTAACACTTCCAACTTCTGTCTAAATGCCAGAGCTGTTCTTCACTCCTTCCTTCTCCCCCCACACCAGGGCAGGAAAAGGGAGAAGAGGGAGAATTTATTCTTCTCAGTCCTGCACATTTACAGGAACCAAATCCAAGTTTCACATCAACTCTTCTTTCATCATCGTAACAAACCACAGTAAAGGCTTAGCAGAAACCCCAGCCTGGAGAAAACCCAAGCTGACAGTTTCTCCACATCCTCAACCTCTGACTTGCTAACACTACTACAGATGGCGGATCAATAAACAATTAGAATTGATCAATAAATAATAAAACATAACCCACTGCTTACCTTTGATGTACCAGGGCCCCTAACTGGTTACCTACTGTGGCAGAGAGAGAAAAAAGGAAAAAAATCAAAGCATTAGCACGGATAAACTAACTTCATCCCTATAGAAAAAGAGTTCTTACCATTTCATCAAAAAAAAGAAAGAAAAGCAAAACAGTAATTTAGGTTCAGTGGCTGAAATGAATGCGTTATGTGGTGCAAAACAGGAGGGGATTTCTTGATCAACACACACCATAACGCAGTGTCCAGCTGAACACAGGATAGGGAATTGATCTGCGTCTCCCCATGCTGAGAGTCATGGGAGAAAATCCTGCCTGCCCAAATCCAAATCCCTGCAAGTAACCTCCCCCCTTCCCAAATTAAGCCCAGAGTAGTAAAAAAAGGAAGAAAAGGGAGGGAGGGGGGAGGGAGAAAAGACGTTTCAAGCAGACTGATGTGCATGAAAAAAAGAACAACCAAAATGAAAGCCGAGCAGACTCAGATTTGTCAAGGCAAAAAAGCATTCAAGACTGCTTGCACGTACTTCTCTCTGCGTCTCTTATCTGTGCTCCATGAAGCCCACTTACACGGAGACCTGTTAAAGGAATACGTCTGTTAAGTAACCTTGTGGCACCCAAACAGTATTTGCTTTTAAACCCACCACATCTTCCTGAACGCACGCATTCCAGACGTATCTGCTGTGTTAGCTGGTGGTCCGTTTATGATTAGCAGTTGTCTCCCCAGCTGACAGCCCTCAACCAGATTCCTGCCCCCCCCACTACCCAGCCTCAACAGATTAGATCTTTCTTCCAAATGTTAATGGGGAAAATATCATTAGACCAGCTCATGCAAAGTGGGAACACACGCCCTGCTGGGCTTCCTACTGGACTTTGCCTGCAGCAAACCAGCTAAAAACCAGACCATTTGGTCCTAACAACCAGTTGAAAGATTATATTGCATGCCTGGAGGGCACAAGCAGCAAACCGAATGAAACCGGCCAACATGTGAGCTGTGATAATAAAGATGCTGTTTCAAACTACCTTGCAGCAACTTACACATTCTTTGACCTGAAATAAATAGGCAATCAGCTGGCAGGGTTAGAAAGCGGATGCATCCCACTTTCTCTAAAACCAGGAGAAAGATGGATAAAGTTTGTAGCCAAACACTTCACTCAAATAAAACAGACAAAGAGAGTCAATACTGTGTTTCTGCTGTGTGTCAATACATTCATAATAGTTCAGGACCAAAATATTGACAGCATATATATTTTATTACTTTCCCCAGCTCAGTGATAAGACAACTGCTGTGTTATTGACTCCATTAGATTTGTCTTTGCATATTCTCACCCTGAATATAAAAAGCCCTAATTTGATAACTATCAATACAGCAGCTGAAAAAGGTGGGTGATGTAATGAGGAATATTTGCTCTAGCTCATAAGATAATACTGCAGAGCTGAGCAAATAAAACCAAATCCAGGATCACACCATCGTGCCTGAAACTGTGCTCTGGGTATGCACAGTAGGTCTGGTGGCTGTGTTTGGGATTGCCCTTGCCACAGACCAGGCCACTCATTATCCCAAGCTGCCAGAAAGAGTGGTCTTAACACGACAAGGCTGTATTTAAATATCCGCTTCACATTTGAGCTCACCAGAACAGCTTTTAGCAGCCTGTTCCACTGCAGCCGCTGCCCACAAATTACGAGACAGACACATATCCTATAATCAACTCCTGAAGTTCACGCAAGGAACGGAAGAGCCTTCATTTTGTAACACAATCCTACACTTGAAAAAGACAACTTCATCGGGGAAACACGGATGAGCGCGAGAAGTTAAATCAGAAAGGGAAATAATGCTTTACATGGACCTAAATGTCTCCAACCCATTCCAAGCACTACGCAAATACGGCGAGCCACTCACCACCCCAAGCAGGTATCAGCCTCACTGTGGGGGTATTACAAATCAGTTAACAACAATTAAGCCACAATAGCTTATGGATGAGATCATTCCTTCCACGTTTCACAGACAACCCCTCCATGAGCTCAGATAGAAGGCAGATGGAGAGAGCTGGGAGTGATTTACGTGAAGTCAGTTGTTATTTCTCCCTGATTTGGGGGAAAAAAGAAACAACTCGTGGTTCTAATAACCTAAAGGTCCATTCCTTCTCCAACATGCCCATTTTGCTCTGAAAACCAGGGACTAATAGAGAGGCAGGGCTGCTCTCTGCAATACCAAAAACTGAGGTACTGGCTCCACTATCTCAATCTTGACGCCAGGGAGGGGGCTGAACTCTGACAAGCCACGCACGTATTTCCCCCTTTTACATCTATTGAGTACAATTTAACCGTAACTGCAGTCATTTTACTGCAAATAAGGAAAAATACTGAATAAAATCAGCACAATTTCCTATTAACGGCACCTGCTGGTTGAAAACTCTTCACTTTTCTTTAGGCTTCTCCTTAACTGAATTCTACCTAACAGACACTCAAAACAAATGAGGATTTTTTTCCACCCCATAAAACAGAGCACTGCCTCCCACTAAATTAATGTGCACAGAGGGAATATACAATCTCATCAAGAATATCTTCATGGCTAGAATAAAATCAGAGCAACACATCTCCTGGAGAGCAGTGGAACAGGGTTCATTTCATACTCTGGAACTAAAATAGGATCACTGTACATTTTAGAAAGGAAGACGTTAGTGACCCTGATTCTTCACCATTAAATATTGCTAGACTTTTCTTTCATTAAATGCTCACAACCTAATATTTTTCACTGCAAATCTTCATAGGCTTTTTTCCTCCTCCTTTAAGCTGCCCCATTTAAGTAACAGTGAACTGTGAAGTTGCAGTTTCAGAGAACACTGCCATTCTGTGTATTACACTAAACCTTTTGCTAAGAGATCTGGACTTTTGCCCTGGTCTTAGTGCTGCTGCAGATGTGTCAAGGAGCATTACCACTAACTTGGAGCAGCAGTAAGACAGAGGTAAGATTCTCTTCTGCCCATCACTATTTTCACTGAAAACACATTGAAGCAAAAGAATAAAGTACAGCAGGATCATACAGGGTTACTACAATCAAGTTTTATTACACCAAAACAGGCCACCTTCATATCTACACCACAAAGGCTGGGGGAAGGCAGAGGGACATGAGGCTTCTCGGAGGTCTCTAACCTTTACTTCCCCAGCCTCAAGGATACCCCAGCCTTCAGCTGCAACACTGCTGCTTAACCCTATGTGCATCGCTGGAAACTTCTGCAAAGCAGTTGAAACCAGGGCAGACAAAAGCCATCATTCTGGTGATCAGTCTCTTTCCAGCAGGCTAGATCCCTGTTTCCTTTGAACAAAAGGAGCCTGTTTCTTTAAGGATTATTTAGCGTTGAATAAACTTATAAAATCATGCTAGCAATTAGAGAGACTCTTTAATTAGAACGGAGGCCAAGGGCAGCCATGGCCATTACAGGAGGGCCGAGATCCATCCTCAGCTGTGGGTCACAAGCAAGATGCCACCAGGTCTCTGTACAGCTCAGACTTACCCCATCTCTAGTGCCCACCTCCATAGAGAAACATTAACCCCTGCAAGTGGCCATGTAAATGCAGACTACGATTTCCTGTGAGCAGTACAAACAAACCTGATCTCCTCCCTGCACTGTAGCTATTTGCAGGATTAAAGTTGTTTCCATAAAGAGGAAATAAAGAAGCCAGGGAAAAAAGAAATGAATCACTCTCGAGCCCCATCTAATACCAAAAGGCAAGGTCACCAGGGCCAGTCCCAGCAGCTCTTTGTTTCAGATGAAGGTTATGTTAAGGGAAGTGCAAAAGGCACCCACATGTTCTGGTTTCCAACACTATGACAAACCTATTTTTCCCGGAAATGCTCTAAAAGCAGCTGGATTTGTTTTGACAGTGCACTGTCACCCTGTCGGAAGACCACTTCCTAAGCTGACATCAATCAGCCATACCAGCAGCTGCTTACAAAAATGGACAGGCAGAATAAGGCTTTCTGGAAAGACAGACAGTTTTCCTGTCACCTTAAATACTTCCTCTGGGCCCCTTTTTTTCAGGATTATTAGGAAGAGAAGCGATTTTCTAACAGCTACAGGGGGATAAGGAAGCAGCGAGACCTGCACTCAGCCGTGAACACACAGTATATGGAGGTAAACAATCAAATGTTTTACCATCAGGTTTGTTTCCAAGCTGTCCAGAGCAGCAGAATGTACCCAAACCCCCGCACCATAAAATTCCTAGAGCATGCATAACAACATAAATAATTGCTTCTTGACAACCATGTCTCCAATCTGTGGTTCACAGACAAGCAGAAAATGGAGGAGTGTGGGCAAGCAACCCCGACACCCTTTGCTTGCAGCTAACAGACAACTAAGAGACCATCCAAATGGGAAGTGCTTTCCTAATTTAAGTGTCCTATTAAAAGCAACTGCCATCTTCCAGATGCTTAAAGTTAAAGCTGCATTATAGACTTTTAATGCCAAGGCAGCAAGAGCAGGTAGTCTAAGGCTAAGTTATGGATCATACCACAGAGAGGAAGAAGCATTTGTGGCTTTCAAGAGGTCCTTTGCCAGGCTGCAGTTCTGGGTATGCAGTCTTAGCAGCACAGGAGGATCACGCTGTGAGGTGGGCAACTCATCACACAACTGTATTTCAGTACAGGACTCACTAATACCTTTAGAAATAAAAGGTAAGATGAGCAAAGCTGAAAGAAGCGATACAACCCTTGCTCCTACCCTGACAGTTCCTGTTTCTTTGTGAAATTCCAGCCCCTGAAAATGTTACTTCCACCATTTCTCTCCTCCTCTAAGATCTTGGACAAAGTTATAAAACCTACAGATGTACATGAACAACCTAAAGGCAAATACAGCACTGGAGCTACTTTAAAAGAGTTATGGACAAGGCTGAGTGCTGAACTAGAGGGTGAGCAAACACCCCTAGGTCTTCACACCGGCAGAATAACCAGAGTGAGGAGTACAGCCGCTCCAGAAGGCGCTCCCAGGAATGACACCTGCTCCATGCAATTGTCTATCACAACACAAGAATCCAGCAGCAACGTGCGTTTGTAGACCACACTGCAACTGTATTGACACTGGTTGTGTCAACACAAACAAGGCCCAGCAAGTAATAGGGCTGCTCACGAGTAAAAGTTTAGGTACAAAGTCTAAGTTGTGCTGTCATTAAGCACTGTGACCATTTCACATGTTAAAAGTTCATCAAAACAACATTTTATCAAGAGGTCAGGTTTCCTAGCTCAGTCTGATGAATCAGTGAAAGAAACGGGCAGGGCTCACGTGACGAATGCCTAGTTCCTAGAAGGCTATCAACACATACCAGTAATACCAGGCCTCTGGCTGCTCACGGACACAGTGATGCTCCAGCCTGAGATACAAGGCACAGGGGCTCCCCCAGATAAACCCATGCTTTCCTAAAACACCAAATCAAAGGAGCTGCAACCTCTTGCTCAACTAGAGCCAACACCAGAGAACAAAGTGGGCTGTAGCATGTGTTCAGAAGTTAGCAAGCCAAAGGCTCCACATGAAAGAAACTTCCCCCCATGCTCCAGCTCGCAGTATGACAAGCAGACACGCAGTATTTTTCAGCCTTTGTATTAAGACAAAACCCAAATTATTTCCAAAACGAAGTGCTAGGCAGTAACTTTGCTTATCTCCCCTGTACTCCTGAACATATCTGTGGGGGAGAGAATCACCCTGCAGGGCTACCTGCGTCAGTAACATACTAGACGAGATAGCAAAAGGAGATGTAGTCACATTTATTTTTAATAACCAACCACAGGAAAAAGTGAGCTCTTCTCATCTGTACAGCAGCAAACAAGACAGTTCAAACACTTCTTGTAAGAGTGCACATCATTAGTCTGTAATAAAGAAAACACCTGCTCTAACACTTTTTGGCTCCCAAAGATAAAAAACTAATAACTTACTTTAACAGTATAACGCTTATTATTAACTCATTACAATTAGCAGGTATGGTACACCAATAAATTCTTCTTTGGCTGTGGCCAATGCTAAATGCTTCAGAGATTGAAGAAATCTCAAAGAATAATTACGAAAAAAAGCAGGCAGTTTCCTTCCAACTGGCATCAATTTACATCAATACATTTGTCCTTAAAATTCATGTGCAAACCCATCAGAACTCTTGTCAGTGACTCAACTACTATGCTGTGGCCACTGCTACACATGGCAAGGAACATGTAGTGCTGCCCCTGTACACCCCCTGTTCTCAGAAAATAGGGGTCACCAGGGAAAAACAGCTTTATTATGTACCTCGGGTACTGTATATACAGGCTCCATCATAGTTCCAGTAAGCACATCCTCCTCCTTCCTCCCTCCCACAACTACCACAGAACAAGATTTTAACTACAGAGTTCATTTGCTAATTCCCAAAGTTCATGAACTACGAAAGAATTGCTTTACATTAATAATACCAATGCCTAGCAGGTCCATGCTATCTAGGTAACACTAAACAGCACAGGGCACCTTGTATAAAACGTATATACACAGGAAGATGCATTGACTTATGTCCTTAAAGCAGACAACTGCCTCCACAGCTGAACTTCAGGGGCTGCATCCACAAGACTAATCACAGCAGCTTACCTCCATCATCCAGGGGCCGTTTCTGCACTCCATAACCGTAGACTGATGGGTCCACAAGTGTTGTGGAATTATTCAAGTGAGGAATATCTCCAATTTTAGCAGCAATCTATAAAAACACAGGGGATAAATCATGATTAGCATACTTGAAGTTTCAGCCATCACAGCTAAACACTCTTTCCTGCAATAAGGCATTTACCCCAATCCAATCTTCTCTCAGCTATTTACTATACAGGTGGCTTTGTAACAGTTCCAAAGCAGCAGTGCTTCATTTGTAAAGTAAACAATTTAATGCTTGCTTTTCATATTTGTTTAATTAGGATCACATTCACTCAGTTCCTCTTTCCTCTTTCCAGGTATTTACTCCCTGGAACATTATATTCAGGTTTGTTCACTTGATGAACAGCTGACAAGTTAAATCTTGCAAAGAGGAGAGTTCTAACTAGCTCACCAGCTTTGTCCTGGTGAAGCTGTCACCACTGTAGCTGTGTAGAAGGACACAAGCCTCCTCCTGCATCCATGCATATCCAGATACACCAAAATGCACATTAGCAGGGGGAGTGAAGGGGGAAGAATGTGAAAATATACAGTACAAGGACAGGGTTGAGAGCTCCTTGTCACAGAGGCTGGATCACCCTGTGTTTACTGAATGAAGAATAAGCCAGTGGGCAAACTACAAGCCCAGAATCAGTTTCAATTTCCTGCAGTGGTGAGTACAGCATAAACAGGACTAATGCTGCCTGTGCCCCTGTTTTCATCCCTTACAGAGGGGTAACTGCTACTCCCTGCCAAGCCAGGATGCAAGGAGGATATTTCCAGGAAAGAGGAGAGAGTCAAGTATCACAGTAAGGGGACTGAGGTAAGCAAACAAACCAGATGAAACACTTAAACATCACTCAACAGAAGTGAAAAGTTAAGCCTGTCTTTAATGACATCTGGGAGATACTTATACAGATGGGTGCTCACAGATTCACCTGCTCTCCAAGCTGATACAAGATCACCCTAGAAAAACACAGGTACATTACTTTGGTGCTGCACCTACGTTAATACCCCCTGCAGGGACAGGGAAGCTGCGGTCTCACAGCACCCCTTGACTACCTAAAGTACTTTAATAAGCATTTGCAGAACAAAGTAGTTACAGAACAAATATAAAGCACTGTGTATGCTACAGCATTTTGCTTCATTTTCCAGCAAAAAGAAAATCAATGGATAGGATCTTTACTAGGAGTCTGATCTCACTCTATTATAAGTGAGATTTCACCAGAGAATAAGCTACAGGAACAGACGAAAGAGCATTTTACACAGATAGGTTTTAAATGAAGACAAGGGCAAATGACAAATATAACTATAGGTGTTTCTAAAATCTGAGTTTTGCTGCAACAGAAAGACATCTACAGTAACTGTGGCTGTTGACACTATCGGCTGCTGCAGTCGAATAAACAACTGCCCAAGATTCAGAACCACAGGGTAGTGAAAAAAGCTATTTGAAATAATCTTGAAAGATTGAGGGCACTGCTGTTAGAAAGAGAATAGAAAACATTCTCTTCAATGCCTTGCACGAAAAGGGCTCCAAGTTCTGAACATTTTCATCTCATAGCCCATTCTGTCCTGTCCTCTTTTAGGAAGTCAACAACTTTGTTGTGTCAGAAATGTCAGGACCTAGAGAACAAAATCTGCCTGCAGGACCAGCACAGTGATCATGTAGTGAAGCTTTAATGACAAGCATCTTGTACATTAACATCTCCAAAAACTAATAAGCCCATAGAAATCTGATTCTAAAAGCATCAACACACTTTGTACACTTCATATTAGGGAGTGTCAGGTGATGCCTTGGTTTTTGTTGAACTGCACCCCTGGTTCCAGCCCTTTGCCTTCCCCTTACATTTGGGATGCAGAGGATTTTAATGAAGGTACAAAGAGCATTGATGTTTCCTGACTACTTCAATGCTGAAAAATAAATTTTAAGACATATTTTATAACAATCTATCAGCAGCTTTCACACAACTTACAAGGATGCTAAAAGAAAGAGTGTCAGGTATAACATACCCTGGCATGTTTTGGAACACTTGATTTTAAGTATGTTTGTTGTTGTGGAAACTGCCAGCTGATAGTTTTGAGCTGAAATCACCCACTACATGTTAAGGGAAAGAAAAAAATAGCCTATGGACAGCAGAAGCTGGCCTACAACAGGCAGCTAGCATGGACTACAAAGGTGTGCATGAACAGATCACTGGCACTGAAGCTGGCTGCTCCCACAGCTTGGCAAACCCCACTCGTGCTTAAGCACACAATTACCACCCCAACACAGAACCCTGCAACTAAAAGGCAAAATAAGAGTCAAAGCAATCCTTATGTTATCAGCTTTTGGGATATATCCCACATACACACTTTATTTAAACTTGCCTTCTTATCTCTACAGCCTCCCAGCTGCCACCGGATTACAGGCACACAACACAGCACCTCACAATAGCAGGGAAAAACACCCTGCAAAATTCAGGAGTTGAGCTTTTAAAGTAGATGTGGCAGTTAAAATGCATTTTAACTTCTTATGTTCAACTTAAAATGGGAGCCTCAGTTTTTACTACAGGTTCAGCAGCGAGATAAGCACAAAAGTTAGGACATAGCAAAAGTAAGCAGACCTAGCTCTTATCTGGCTGAATGACCTTGAGTGATGTACTGCTAGCCACTGCTTTTGTCCTGCTCTATGCCAGTCTTATTCCTCCTCCCTCCCTTTTTTTTCCTAAACCAAATACATCCATAAGCTCTGAAATACACTGGAAAAAAACACATTACTACCTGTTTCTGGACCTTATTTCCCCCAAGTAAGTGTCTCCAACAAACACTTTAAAGGAGACAGCACAAACTGCAACAGGAAATCCAATAAAAACAAAATAGCCCACAAAGTTGCATGAAGAATATATGTTTTCCTACACCTTGCACTTCTGTCCTCCTATACCTTTAACACCCTCTAAGAAAGGTATAATATGAAAACAGCTTTAAATACGAAGCTTCTTTGCTAGGTACAGCAGGACTCAAGCACCATTATCTGCAGTATTCAGCTTTGAAGAGAAAGGGCCTAGCTTCTGAGGAGAATCCCTCCATCCTGTCCTGTCAAAGAACTGCAACGGATAAAATAACCAATTCTAGGTACTGACAGGATACAAAACACCAAGGTGCTGTCACCTGACCCTTCAAACAGTTCCAGTGCTTCTGCTACTCTTTCCATGTGTCAAGCAGAACACTCAGGTTTGTGTGACAGACACTTCACCAAAGCTCTGTGGGAAGGAGCAAAACCATCCACAACCACTGAAGTTTCATGTTGCAGGTGGTTTTCCTAAATACCAGAGGATGAGCTGAACAAGTACACTGCAAGGGATAAAGAAAAGTTAGTCTAAGAGTCCTCCATCCCCATGAAATTAGAAGTTAGACACTCATAACAGAAAAAGATACAGCCTGTTAACTCTGAAGATACTCATCCACTTTCAAGGTACTCAAGCTGGAATGCATCAGACTTGCCAAGCCACGGCCTTTCCTCTTTAGAGCATTCTCAGAAATCTGGATTCAGAATGTACATACAGTGGATTACCAGAACAGCTAATGTAAGAAAAGGGAACCAGTAAGTGCTGCAAACACCTGTGCTGTATGGAAAATGAGACTGCCAAGAAGAACAGGAGAGGGTAAGAAACAAGCAAGATGCTATTTTGTCAGAATAAGTCTCGAGGGCAGTTGGACACAAATCCATTTCTGTCTGAAGCACAGGCAGCTTTGCTTATTTTCAGACCCCATTTCTCAAACGGGAGCAAATATTCTCTTTCTCTGTGCCCCCCACCCCAAAATGCCACAGAAGAAAAGCCACCCTGCCCAGGAGCAGTCAGACAGACCAGTCACCATTGGTGATCCATAAACTAATCCCCTCACTTGATGTACGGTGCAGAAGACACAGGACAGACCACCTCAAAGTCCCAGCATTCACTTGAATAAGTAACTTTTCATACATCTCAAGTACTGAAGAGTCCACAAGAAACCCAAGCAAGTCCAGCACAAACACTGCAAGCTATGTCCAAATAATTTCTTTCAAAGCTATTCCAAATTTCTTACTCTTATTGTCATCTCGTACCCCAGTGACTTTGAGGAAAGCAGTTACTTTCCTTTGATCAGAAAAGTCTTCCCTGGCCTGAATTATTTAGTTATTAGTAACTAAGCCAGATTTTAGTGTTAGGGCTCTCGTGAGAACTGAAGTTAGTCAATTTGATGACTCGTCTTAAGTGTAATATTAAACTTTGAAAGAGTTTGAACGTCAACCCCGGGATGCCACACCAACACACGACGCAAGAGCTACAACTGAATCTTTTTCCTCTGCTCCTTCGTCCCCTTAAAGCAAAAGTAATACTCAGAAAGGGCCATGGCACTGGCCTGGAACAGTACTAAAGCCGACACCTATGCACCAGATCAGTGTCGTTCAGGCAAATACAGCATTAAACACACACAGTGAAAGCTTTGCCATCGCCTCCAGAGAAGTGTTAGGTCAAACTGCCTTGACATCCCACCTGACTGTCAGCCAGCAAGTTCCATCACAGATTGCTTGGGTGATGAGGTAAATATCCATCCTCTGAGCAATTAAGACCATCTTCATTCACATTTGCAAACAAGTCACTAGTGACGATTCAGTCCTGCCATTCCTTGCAGTAGAAGACTACCAACAACGTCTCTATAGAACCAGATTAAACCAAGTCCTTTTGCAGAGGGGGGGGAAATATTTTAGTGCCTGCCAACAATTCTTTTCATCCCACAAACATCAATGGAAAAAAGTCACGTTCAACAGACAGCATACAACTCGCTGCACAAAAATGTAGGCCCCTGTGCTCCCACGAACACATGTAGAGCACACACACCTCCCAACACGCTTGTTTCCAAGGGGAAAAGACAGCAGACAGGTTGCTACACTGCAGTGCCTGGCTTCAAGATGTTCAGACTAACTCAAGTTCAGACTAACTTCAAGTTCAGACTAACGGAAAACTGACCCATTCTCACAAGTACTGATTAACTTCAGAACAGCAAAGTTGAAGTAAGTGAGCATAGCTAGGTTACAGAATTGTTTAATATTCCATCTCCTTTACATGAGGGTTTAGGGGGCTCTCAGAGTCACCCCACAAACATGACAACTGCAACCACTCAATGCTGATTCAGATCAGTTGCAACTTAGCAGAAAATCATTTTTTTCTACATAAACAGGTTATTCAAAGATTATCCAGCTGCTAGCAGGCATAATATTATCACATACTCAAGGAGATGTTTTTGCAATGAGAGGCCTTCGGTACCAGACAACCAGGTTGAGACAAATACAGCTGCAACACCGCTCAATTTAACTGCATCAAGTAGATAATGCTGGACTAACAGCAAAGCTTTCAGACATCACATAGCACCAAGGCCACAGCGCTCTGTAAGCACTGAAGAAAGTGATGCACAATGTCTTCCAAGAGACAGCTAACACACAACCTGCCTACTGCAGGATCTATGCTGAGAAAGATATGGACAACCAAAGAGCAGAGCAGCTCGTGGTCTCCTCTGTCCCCAGGGTGTTTTGTCTCGAACAGCAAGCGCCTCAGTACAGGTTCCTGAAGGCCACACAGAACACAGACTTGCTGCCACACCAATTCACCAGTGAGCCATGAGTGATGGTGAACCGCTTAAGTTCCATCCGAGCGGTCGCTTGAAAGGCCCAGTTTAGTTTCTTTGGAAGCTTCCCCATGACATGAGAGAAGCAAGTCTGGGCAACAAGGAGATTTCTCCCACCTGGCCTTTAATACTGGAAGGAATAAAGTCAGGTCTTCAAGCACCAGCTGGGCTGCGGTCCTGGTATTCAGCTGTCTTACATTTCACTGCAGTTATTAAGCATGAATAAAGTGCAACCTGTTCAGAGATGGAATAAACACCAGTGACAGACACGGCACAAGAGATGCAACGAACAGTCACAAAATCTGTGCTGTGAGCAGCAGCTTCTTGTTTCTGGAACCACTTTCCATCTGCTGAGGAGCACAAACTCTGGGAATGTCTTGCACTGACAACGAGGGTGCCAACTTCTGCAGGTCCGGGAACTTTTGCTTCTCAGCACCGCGTAAACTCAGAGATTCCTTTGGGAAATGCTTCACTCCCACTGTCTCTCCCTCGCAGGACGGAACGCAAACCTCCCCCTCTGCCAGGGTTTCTATCGATGAGCCGAACTCGCACTTAAAGCCTCATTACCATCGTTATCCCCCACCCACCCACTGCAAAGCGCAAGGCGACAGCCCCACAGGCGACAGCTCCCGCCGGCTGCACCCGCAACGCTCCCCCGTGTCACCCGCGCTGCAGGGCCCTGTCACAGAGCCCCTCCGCCGCCGCCGCCTCCCCCCTCCCCGGAGCTCTTTCCCCGCTGCCCGCAATTCACAGCCCCCGAGCTCCCGAGCGGGGCCTGCAGGCGAAGGGGCAGCGGTGTCGCGGCCCAGCCCCTCACAGCGGCCCCGCCTCGGCCTAGCGGCGCCCCGCGGGCTCCTCCCGCCCCCGGCCCGCCCGCACCGCTCCTACCTGCCGGACCCGGTGCAGCGCGTCCACGAACCCCTCCGGCTTGATCCCCACGGGCGCTGCGCTCTGCCCCTGCGCCAGCTCCGCCATGGCCCGCGCCCACCCGCCGCCGCGCCGCCCCGGGGACCCGCACCCGGAAAGGGAAAGAGCCCCCCACTTCCGCCGGAAGTGGCACGGAGAGGCGGGGCCGGGAGGCGGCGGGGGGCGGGCCGCGGAGCGGGGCACCGGCAGCTCACGTGCTGGAGGGGAGGGGCCTGGCGGAGACACCGCCTCCCGCCGGCGCCGGGAGAGCGCGGGGACTGAACGGGAACGGGCAGGGACGCGGACACGGGCAGGGACAGGGACAGGGACAGGGACAGGGACAGGGGCACGGACACGGGCATGGACATGGGCACAGGCACGGACACGGACAGGGACACGGACACAGGGACACGGGCAGGGACACGGGCACGGACACGGACACAGGGACACGGGCAGGGACACGGGCACGGACACGGACACGGACACAGGGACACGGGCAGGGACACGGACAGGGACACGGGCATGGACACGGGCACGGACAGGGACACGGACACAGGGACACGGGCACGGACACGGGCATGGACATGGGCATGGACACGGGCACAGGCACGGACACGGACAGGGACACGGGCATGGACACGGGCATGGGCATGGACACGGACACGGACAGGGACAGGGGCACGGGCATGGGCACGGGCACGGACAGGGACAGGGACACGGGCATGGACACGGGCACGGGCATGGACACGGGCACAGGCACGGACACGGACAGGGACAGGGGCACGGGCATGGGCACGGGCACGGACAGGGACAGGGACACGGGCATGGACACAGGCACGGGCATGGACACGGGCACAGGCACGGACACGGACACGGACAGGGACAGGGACACGGGCATGGACACGGGCATGGGCACAGACAGGGACATGGGCACGGACACGGTCACTGCCCTCCCGCTCCCAGCATGGTCCATCCCTCCGGCCCGTCCCGCACTGTCCTGCTTGTGACATCCCATTCTCATCCCATGGCACAGCTTCCAGCCCGTGCCGTGTGTCCCCACCTCTGGCACCCCGTGCCAGCCCGTGCCAGCCCTTCCATCCCTGCTGTAGCGTGGCTGCAGATGCGGCCGCACCGTTTCACACCTTCCATGGAGACACCTCATTCTGCAGTGCCCGTTTCCAGCCCACTCCGGTGTTCGGGGACCATGGTTTTGGCTCATGGTGAATGGACCCTGCCATGGTGCTTGTGACACTGCATGAAGCTCCTGGAGAGCTGAAGCCCCCAGGGGTGCCCAGCACCCCCAGTGCCAGAGCCCCCAGGTCCAATACAGCCACGATGCTCCCAGCACAGTGGAGCAGAAGGCTCTGGGATGACGCAAGGACCAGTTAGTCAGGGAGTAATGCAAAGAACATGCAGAGCTTCTCCCCTGAGCAAGGTGCTGCTGTAGGGCCCCTGTACAGCCCTTTTGGTCTCATAGATCTGTGCAATGTGGGGGTTTTTGGGATGTCCCATGAGTGCTGCCACCCAACCTGCCGCTCGGGCACAGATCCCATTGTTGGGGGTACACACTGGCTGCAGGTTCATGTTTCCTTCAGGATATGAGAGCAATGCCAGGCTGTGGGGTGGTGGCATGGCTTATGGCACAGAGGCGACAAGGGGCAGTGATGGGAACCCCGGTCTGGTGATTCCCCTGCAATCCAGACCCACTGAGGGCCTTGAACTAACCCCCCCCATTGCAGAGCAGCTGCATGAGAGATGCAGTCTTCCAGACTGGAGCCCGCATCCAGCTCCGCCATGGCTGGATTTGCCTGGAATAGCCCAACCTTCGTTGATCCCAGACCCCTTTTCCCAAAGCCACCAAGTATTTTATGCCCCAAGCTGTGTCGGCCCCATCTCAGCTGTTTCTTGCTCTTTCCAGTTTTATGCATCTCATTCCCACCCACATGAGTAGGCAGGAATTGCTGAGGCCCATGAAATTATCTGGTGGCTTTCCAAGAGCAGGGAAGACGCTTCTTCCCTGGGATGCACAGTCTGCTGCTGCTCACCTACATTACACCAGTGGGCTTGCTGATCTCTTCCTTTCGGGATCATTTTCTTAAGCAAAATGCCCGTTTATTTTAGGAGAAAGGAGCAGAGCCCATGGGGGAAGGATTTTAAGATCAGCATCACTGCAGCCACCCATCATCTTCCAGCCATGGTGGAGGCACCTTCCCCAGCCATACCCAGGGCTTTGCTTCTTCCTCTCTTGAAAACAGCCCAAAGACTTTGCTGGATGCAGGGATTTTCCCCTCCTAACCCTGGCTCAGCACCAGCCACCTCTTTCTCCATGCAGGTCCTGGGAGGGGGGGGGGGGGGATCCCCCCAACAACCCCATTCAGCTCTTGGCTTTGAGCAAGATTCACCCTGTGACCCTGCAGTTGATGCCAACCTCAAGGTGGCTACAAAGGGAGGTGCCCAAATCTAAACCCTAAAGCCCCCAGTGCTGGGATGCCGGCTGGGAGAAGCAGTAGCATCCACTGCCAGCACCGCACCTGGGACTGGGAGAGCCAAGTTTTGGCAGCATCAAGCCCTAATAAGGGATGAAGGAACTTCCTTGGTGCTGAAGACCAGGGCTGATGGACCAGGCTGCCAAGAGGGTGACAGCAACCCCAAGCACTGAACAGGCAGGGATGGCTGGGAGGGAGCCTGGAGCGAAGAAGACATCAGGCAGCAATGGAAAAGAGGGAAATTACAGGCCTTAAACACTTCCAGAAACAAATTTCTGATGTAAATCTTCCTTTTTGAAGGAGAAAAAAAAGCCAGGAGTGATTCTATGCCTCCATCCCCCGCATCCCCCCCTCCGGAGATGCACACACCTTCACACACATGCTGAAATTAGTTGTGACAGCTGAAATTCTGCCCTCGTCGGACGCCGTTTGACAGGGTACTTAAAAAAGGAGGGGCCAAAAAAAACCCATCACAAAATAGGAGAGGGAAAAGAAAAAGGAAAGTGGTTTGGTGTCGCCTGGGGAAGGCGGAGGGGGGTGATGGGGTGGGGGGGTTTCGAGTGATCCAAGGCGCATAATTCAGGCTTCTTGGATTGCAAAAGCTCCTCTTACCTAAAGGGCCTGCTGCCTTTATTTTTATCCAAATGGCTCAATTACTGCAAAGCCCCACAGAGAAAATTATGGATGTTTGCCTCTATTTTTCTCCCCTTGTCTCGACAACTGGAGATATTTTGTTTTCCTTCTTTCCATCTCTCTTTTTTTTTTTTCCCTGTTTTGTTTTTGGTTTGGTTTTTATTCCCTTTCGGTGGCGATGGGTGCGGGGGCTGGAAGGTGGCCAGGAACCAGGGTGAGGGATGGATGGGGAGATACGGGGGATCTGAGGTGAGGGATGCGGCGCTGGCATGCGATGACCCTGCCAGCATCACGCGACCTGGTCCCCTCTCCATCTCCCTTATGCCACCTTTGGCTCCTTGTGTCCCCCTTATCCCTTCATCCCCCATCCTCATCCCTCCAGCCCTTTCTCCCTCTCCTCTCCCCCACCTCCCTCCTCTCCTCCCCATCACCCCCTCCCTGTGCCTCTCAAAGCCACCATAATAGCAGCTTGTTTGGCACTTCACTTGGTCTCAATGAGAAAATTTCCCCCCTCTCCCTCTTTTTGCCTTCGTTATTTCCAAACCCTGCAATAGCTCCTTTGCTCAGGGCTGCGGGAAGTGCCCATTTCTCAACATTTTTCTTTGGCTTATGTTTGTCATCCTCTGAATTACCGCACCGGGGAGTCCAGTCAGCCCGACACCGGGCCCTGCTGTTCACGCCTCTCCTGCTCCTTGAGATCATGTAGGGAGAAATTAGTTATTTATTTCGAGCACCACTGCAATGCACTTCCCCTGCAGAAGTGTTTGTTTTGATCCCTCCCTGGAAAAGGAGGCTCCGTGGGGAAAACCAGCGTGGTGGCAACACCGGGTCCGGCGGGAGATGGGGTGAGCATAGGGCAAGGTGTGGGCAGCCCTTGGGGCTCCTGGGAGAGGTGTGAGTGTGGAGACCATCATTGAGCACATGAGGGGGGTCCCCGTCATGCTGAGGTGCTTCCCTGAGGCTCCTCCTGGAGCAGACGCTGTCTGCAGCTCCTGAGAGTTTCCCGATGCTGTTGTTCCATTAGGAAACCTGGATGCCATGGTGAGATGGATCCCAAAACCACATGGTGCTGGGGGAGCATCTCACCCCAAGCTGGCCACGATGGCACAAGGGATACAGCCCAATAGGCTCTGCCTAGTGCTGAAGGACTGAACAGATTTGGAAATAAGAGGAAGAAACCCTTCTCCAGCACAGCCCATGGTCACTGGACATGGTCCCCAACCCTGGTCACCGGCCAGGGGTCCTACCCATCCTGTTACTCTTTGCAGAGCAACATCAGCCCTGCATGGGCATCCAGGCTTTTAGGCAAGGGCAGAACAGACCAGGAATCATTCACCACCTCAGAGATGTGAGATGGAAGGATGCTGCCCACCCTTGGAGATCGTATCCCACCTCCCCTTCTCCCTGTGCCAAGGTCAGGAGTCACTGGTTTCATTGCTGAGCCCACCGGTCCCATTGCAGAGCAGGCTGGCTCCTCAGCC